CACTACTAAGAAATCTAGACTCAAGGTTTCAAAGTTCTCCTAATTTTGTTTAGCTGTTGAGAGTCACAAAGCAAGTCCCCAGTATAACAGCAGCTCTCTAAAAGGATTCAGAGAAAATCTATGTTGGTGTATGGGCTAGTAGTAACCTTGAGAATAGAACCCTTTGCCATTTTGCAAAAAGAAAGACTCTAATATTAAAGTAATCCCAGGTTATTAACTAATATTTAATAATACTTAAAATTTCCTGCATAGTAAGTTACAACAATAACACAATTGAACACTTCATTACCTGCAAATTATGAAGTGTTTTTCAGTTAAGTGCATGCTAATGGTCGTTTCTCTAATTAATTCAACAAATAAATACATGCATATTTTTGCATCTTCCATTTGCTAAGCAGTATTCCAGGTGCTGAAGATAAACAACATAGACAAAATTCCTGCCCTATGGAGTGTACATTCTACAAGGGAGTGGAAGACAAAATATATGTGTGGACCATGTTCTGTGGAGGTGAATTTCAGAAAATTTTGGTAAGAGCTCAGAGACCAATAATCTTAGATTTTCAAGTAAGTAAAGAGTTCTAATAGCTGAACAATTCTTATGTGTCAAAACTTTATTTCAACTCTGTAAAGTGTATTTTATTCCCTCTCCACAAATGAAGAAACTAGCTTGGGGAGGCTAAGCAACTTGCTAAATAAAACAGCTAATCACTGGTGTCTCCATAATAACTTAGATGGAAACTTTACTGTAGAAGTTTTAGTCGAGACAAAACAGCACAGTTATTCCATTATAGTTTGAGTGTTCATTCAGTATAATTCAGGAAACTTTTATAAAGATGTTCCACATTTGCCTTCAATAAACTTCAATTAATCTTGAATATAAACCTCTACTAATGTACTTCACACAGTAAATGCCATTTTAAAATTCTTTCTAAATATTCAATGTGTGATTTTGGAGCAGGAATGAATTTAACAATTTTTAAAATTATATTTTATTGATTATGCTATTACAGTTGTCCCCATCTTTCTCCCCTCCATCCAGCACCCCCACACCCTCAAGCAATCCCCACACCATTGTTCATGTCCATGGGTCATAGGTATAAGTTCTCTGGCTATTCCACTTCTTATACTGTACTTTACATCCCCATGGCTATTCTGTAGCTACCTATTTGTACTTCTAAATCAGTAAGTAATCTATGATTAGCACTATGATTGCTAGACTGGCATTTGCTTAGTGCCTAAAATTTTAAAAGTTTCTATTTCCCCCCTTGAGCTTGTAGCCACCAAAAGTGGCAGTCTTCCTTTGTTTTCTTCCTGTTTCAGTCTTTTGCCCCTGAAGGTGCAGTCTTTACTTTCTTTTTCTGGCTGATAACAAAGGGGGTGGGGGCAGGGCTGAAGAAAGCAGGTGCCTCTAAGTAACCTCTTGCTGGGATCACTCTTGTCCACGGAATCATCGTCTCTTCCTCATAGTCCTGCCTCTTTTTAAACAGTTTTTTAGAATTAGGGCTTCTGTTTTTGGGCCACTAACCTTTTTCCTTTTGGATGTTTACCTGATAAGTTCCTGGTGGTCCCAAGCGGCTTCTGCTGTGAGCTGTGGCCCCCTTCTCTAGGGTGTCCCAATCCACCTTAGAGGAACTAGGGTTTACATCTCAGAAAGCAAAGGTGGCATCAGCTCTATTTTGTGCATGAGACCCTTTCATACTGAGAAGCAGCAGCTCTTAGGAGAGCCCATGGCTATGGATTAGGTGGTTTGCACTGGAACCAGATGCTCCCCTTCCCTTCTTCCCTTTTTTCATTAAACATTGAACACTGGTCTCCAGTGATGGGACTTCTTACACCTCACTGGGTTGGGAAACCAATCACTTGTGACAGCAGCAAGCAGACATAGCCTGGAAGCTCATGACCTGAACTGTTAACATTTGTGGGAGCCATGATCTCCTGGGGAAGCCTTCACAGCAAATCCATAAATGGCCCTTAGCACATGAGCAAGTGTTCAGGGGGAGCCATTTCCTCCTACTCTGAGGAACGGGCTGAAATTTGACTTGAAAAAACCCTGGGGGTGGGGTGGGGACTGGTTTATGGAGTGCCTCCAGAAGCATGTGTCTTCCTGGGCACTAGGTAATTTCATCTAAATGGCTCGGATGGCCCCGCTGCTTGTCAGTGCTGCCAGGCACCAGTGAATTAGATCCTAAGGCACTAGGAGGTTGGTCACGCCCACCTCCTTTGAAGGGAACTTTTCAAGCTGTAGCCAACTACCTATATACCCCCAGGGATTGTTTCCTGGACCCTGGGCCTTCCACCAACATGGGGAAATATGTTGAGTGCCCCTTTTGGTTGGGAAACCATGGCAATACCTGACAAAAACAGTACAACGCAGAAACCACCAAGCAGTAAGGGTACCAACAACCAGGGGTGACCTTCCAGGCAGTGTCCACTGACTGTTGGGTCCAGTCAGTAAGCCAAGAGAAGTTTTTTGTTTGTTTGCTCACCAGAGGACAATTATAGGAAGGGACAGAAATATCAATGTAGAGAGAAGCATCAATTAGTTGCCTCGCATATATGCTGGGACCAGGGACTGGCACCCAGACTGGGATCAAACCCCAACCTTTTGGTTATGGGACCATGCTCCAACCAGCTGAGCCACACTGGCCAGGGACATGAGCAGTTTAATCACATACCATCTCCATTTGGCACCAAACCACCCAGCTCACTGTGTCAAGTATGTTAAGATTTGCATCGGGGATTTGTTCTAATCAGATGTGGTAAGCCATACTACATGGAAACGACTGTCATAAAGGAGGAAGTTCATACTCATAGATCCCTAGAACCTGCAGGCACGGCACAACATGCCATACAGGACCACATGGGGAAGGACCACGTTTGGTCAGGAGGCATCTGCTCTAGGGAGAGGGCAAAGCATGGCCCAGAGCCTTTATTGGAGTTTTCTGGGAAGGAATGAGTGAGGCAGGGATGGTTCACTGTGTACATATAGGGTTGGACAGTTTGAATAATTTTGGTAACCTCTGGGCTATAAAGATGTCCTCCATTGTCTGCTTCCCGGCCCTGGGGTGATTTAGAACAAAGAAGAATATGGACTTGGAGTATGAGAGTTTGTGGGTGTGGATTTCGGCTTGGTTTGTATATCAAAGGGGAATCCTTTGTTATCTTTGGGAATTAGCAAGTCCTAGAAGGGACAGTGTCCCCAGGATCAAGGTCCCAAACGCCAGAGTATCAAGAATGGAGAAAATAAGACAATATAGCCAATATACTTAGTTATATAAAAATACATGGATTTCTATGAGCTATAACTTTAAAAAAAAAAGAGAGAGACAGGACTGTGTATATTCCAGTTTTGCAAAATAAAAATACTTCCCATCTATGTCTGCTTTGGATTATAATGTGAAAGAACACACACTTGATTGATAAACTGGACTGTGGCAGAAGGGATAGAAGACAGGGGAGGAGGTGCTGATATGGGAGGAGAAGGGTTTCCATGATAATAACGAGATGTCGATCACATGTGTCACAGAGATACTTGGAAGCATGACACCAAAGTGTCAGTAGTGGTCACCGTACAGTAGTATAACTCTACATGACCACTACATATTTTTGGTAAGTTTTTATGCTGCTGGAATTTTTTACAGTGAGTTTATATACAACCACCCCTTGGTATCTGCAGGGGATTGCTGAGGTCTCTTATACAAAATGGTATAGTACACGCATCCTCCCGTTTACTTTAAACCATCTCTAGATTAATTTTAATAACTAATACAATGTAAATAGTTGTTATAATGTATTAATTAGGGAATAATGACAAGAAAAAAAAACAACCTCTGTGTGTGTTTAGCACCGACATAACCAGCATAGGCCTAACCAGTACATGTTATCAACAATGTACCTTTCTTTTTGGGGGAATATTTTTGATCCACAGTTGGTTGAATCTGCCAGTGTGAAACACACAGATATGGAGGACTGACAGTATTTATTTAACTAGAAAAAAAGCAATATACTCTCTGGGATTCCAACCTAGTTTGCAGTGACATTGCTAAATGCACCAAGAAGGTCAGGCTCATAGGTAAATGTGGGAACCGTTATGGAGCCGTAAGGATAATGGTGAAGAAAATTCAAATCAGCTGGCATGTCAAATACTCCTCCTCTGTCTATGGCAAAACCAAGGTGAAGAGAAGAGCTGTGGGGATCTGTGACTGCGGCTCCTGCATGAAAACAGTGGCCAGTGGTGCCTGGACCTACTGTTCACTCTCCCATCAGAGTAAAGTTGGCTTTCAGAAGACTGAAAAAATTGAAAGACCAGTAGAAGTGCCACAATCTGAAACACTGTTAGCCTAAAATAAATGGGTTAGTTTATGGGGAAAAAAAAAAAAAAAAGAAGCAGCAGCAGCAATACACTTATTTGCGGTTTGGAGAAAACTTTTTCCTGAGTTACAAAAAACAATAATTTCCAATTTCAACAGCATTCTCAAAAGTTGTAAGCATCCTCATCAAGGGGATAAAAGTGAGAATAAAATGGTAAGGGCTGGGGGTGGAAACGGGAGAGAGGTGGGGAGGACTGGGTGAGTGGGCTGGGATGGGGTAAAAGGCAGAAGACTGTACTTGAACAACAATTAAAATAAAACAATTACATAAAAATGGGAAAAAATGGTAAGAACTTACTTAATAAAATCAACATACAGAAGTAAATGTATGTAAAACATCTGACCAAAAAGGTCTGCTATAAGGCCTAACATTACACACTTAAAAACCCAACAACTGGCCCTGGCTGGTGTAGCTCAGTGGATCGAGCACAAGCTGCAAACCAAAGGATTGCGAGTTTGACTACCAGTCAGGGTGCATGCTTGGGTTGTGGGCCAGGTCCCCTGGGGGGGCCACGTGAGAGGCAACCACACACTGATATTTCTCTCCCTCTCTTTCTCCCTCCCTCTAAAAATAAATACATAAAATCTTTAAAAATAATAAATAAAAATTAAAAAACCTCAACAACTGTATATTTGGAATTTGAGCTCACAAAAACCTCTTTTATTAGTCTCCTGCTGATAACATCCAGGAACAAAGGAAATGTAAAATTAGCTTCATGATAATAACTTCTGGGTTATAACACAGTAAGAGTAGACAGCAAAACAGAAATTTCATGGTTAACAGTTCATGTTTAACCCAGATCCCCTGTCAGGACACTTTTTGCCTTGATGAATGAAGTAAGACTTGGTCACATCTTAACACGGTTCAGAGAAAGGAGGTTCAAGTGTGAGTACAAGCTGCCACCTGATGCATTAAAATAAAGAACACATAGGGTTCTCCCAAGTTAAAAAGATTCTTGTGATGCACTTTTTGGATTGTGGAACTGAATCCAAAAATATTTAACATAAGGCTAGACAATAGTAAACTAAATTAAATCATTGCAAAAACTGGATACATGAATGAGAAAGAATAAAACATTTTTGATGCTAACTTTCCAGCTATTATTTTTGGTATAATCACCCTCAGTAAAATCATCCTTGAAACTGAAAACGAACAGGCTGATGACATAGCCAGTAGGAGAAAGCCAGTGCTGTTAACTGCCACTTGCACATCTGTAGAGATAGCGTCTCACAGTTCAGAGTCTGCTCCAGGTCCCACATGTGGGTGCCATGACTTGTCTCCTTGGACTATAGCAATAGGGGCCATCCCAGGCCACAGCAACTGGGATCAAGAGACATGTTTTAATTAAAGAAATTATATATAAGTCAGTTTCAGGACCTTGTACAAATATTAACCTCATTTTAAAACATGGGGGGAAAAACACCCAAATTCAGGGCTAACTTAGCTTTCACTGAACAGTTAAAAAAAAAGTCCCATTTAAAAAAATTTCATCAATAGAGATGCAAAGGTACTTAGGATTGATCTTCATCCTTCATCACTGCTGCTCCAGGCATCTTCAAATGCTCGATTTAACTGTGATTTGCTTGTAGTCTAAGAATAGGGGGGAAAAGGAAGATTCGATTAATCTATTTCATGATTTTAGGTTCACAATACAGTTGTGCAACATATCAACTGAAAAACAATGAGATATTTTGAAAGAAACTATATAATTGTTAATTTCAAGACAAAAGGAACCTAAACAACAAAACAAAGAAACAAGCAAAATATAACCAAAGACACTGAAATAAAGAACAGACTGACAGAGTTCAGAGGGGAGAGGAGAGGGAATTCCAGGGGAAAAGGGGAAGGGTTTACAGGAACGAGTATAAGGATACATGGATAAAAACTAGGGGCGGGTGGAAATGAGAGGGAGGAGGGGAGAGTTGGGTGGGTGGGTTGGGATGGGAGTAAAAGATAGAAAATTGTACTGCAACAATTTAAATGAAAAAAAAAAAGCAAAAGTAATGTAAGAAATGCCCCATATACAATATAATGTGATTTCACTTTAAATAGACATACCAGACTTTATCCATATTATCTGTTTCCCTCAAAGTGGTTACCTCACAACACATACCTACAAGTGAGCTCATGAGAGCATTCGTGCACACACATGCATACATATACCATGATGCTATTGCTTAATGCATTTCTGCAACTCTTTGGTACTACTTGGAGAAGGTAACAAATTACCAGCCATGCAGTTAAGACTGGACTTAGGTCTATAGTCTGACTGACAACTTTTTATTGTTTGGGTCTACCTAACTTTTATAAATAAGCAACTATCCATACATGAGCAATAACATATTGTGTTCAAAAAGTAATGTTGGTTAAGTTGTGAGGTTTACTTTTTATAGTTGGTAAAGCAGTTCAGAAGCAATGCAAAATGTGCCCGAAATGGTACCATGTTTATTGTTAGTACATAGATTTCCCTAGGAGATTTCTTAGAAAGATAACGTGCATTTGGTAGATGTTGTTTGAAACAACAAAACAACAAAACAACCCGCTCTCTTAGCACAGAAGGCAGCGCATCAGTCTCATAATCTAAAACAACAAAACATCACAGTATTCTTACAACTTCAGAGTCATACCTGATTAGGGTAACCAACAATTAGAGGAATTTTAATTATCTGTGGTATTTTAAATCAACTCACTTTCTTGAAAACATTTTAAATGGTTATCTTTTTATTCTCTGGCAAATGACTAAAGGGCTTTAAGATGGTCTCCCTTTTTGGGGTATCTAGGAATTATGAGCCAGGTTTGCTTCTTATTCTGCAGCTTTTACATTTGCTATGAGATCCAAAACCAATAATATATTAGCACTGAGACTACCCTTAAATTATCTTACATCAGTATTGCTTTTTATAACATATAGCAATATTTTGTGATAAAGGTAACCCTTACTGTATTGCTTGAAAATATTTAATTCTTTTTGATGACCACAATTCAAACAAATATAGCTATAGAAAAAGTAGGTGTTTCTAGTAAATACCCAAAGTATCATAAAACAGTATATATTTTAAACATCCTTTGTAGCTGTTAAAACTATAGGTTAGAGTCTACCACCAACCTTATGTTGGATATTGTCACTATTACTAAATCTAATGTTAGCAATCATCACTACCTTGAATATCCAGATACAAAACTATTATCACACTTCAGCTATTCACTTATTTCTAGCAGTAGTCCATATGCTTGCAAGAGTAGCATACTGAAGTTTATTTATTCCTTCATTCAAATGTTTACCTAATTACCTATCTTTCTGGGTTTATAATTTAACTACTAAGTTAGGTTATTTAGTGAGAGTTTATTCAAAGACGTTTTATCCCTATGGGTTAAGTGATTCATCTCTCCAACTCTATCTTTGGAAGCCTTTACTTTGCTTTACATATCTATCAAAAATGTGCTTGCATGGATAAACCATATAAAGGTCATGCCTCCAAATTCCACTATGGAAGCCCAATATATAACCACCTATTAAACATTTAAATTTCATTTGAAGACTCAGAAAGAAGCAAAATTGTATTTTATTGTAATTTATTTTTGCTATGGTGAGCAAAAAAACAAAGTGCAAAAAGAAATGTAGTTGCATGTAAATTTTACTGTTTATACTAGTAAAGGATAAAAATATAAATTTATTACAGTATTACAAAAAATATATTGCTAAAAAAGTTTTATTGCTAAAAATCACAACTAAAATATCATACTTATAGTTAAAAGCTGCAGTAAAAATATGTATGGATGTAGTATACATATTGTTTGAGACCCACTGATGAAGTGGTTGAATTACACTGATGAAATGTTTTGGTTTTCTCTACATCTCCTAGTGGACATCCTTTCTATGCTTGAACATACCATCTCTACCTCACCAGGCTGCCTGTTCTACTGAAAGATAGATCTGAATGTTATGGAGATAGGGAAGCAAAAGTTTAGAGGGGATCTAGTCCAAGTCCAAAAACTTGGGGAGGAACAGCAAAACCAAGTATCTATCACACATATATATTGATAAATTCTAAGTTTCTTAATGGTAATTACTGGAAAGTCTCCATAGGTAGAATATAGGGTTGTCTCTATCAGCAAGTAATTATACACCAACACAAATGGTAAGTAAAACATCTCTGTATTGTGTAACCAACAAAATAAAGTAAGATTCTTGGTAAGAGGTCAGAGTTAAACTGTAATGTGGTGACCTATAGATCTCAGAAAGGAAAAACTGATTAGGAGTCATATAGGCTTGCCTTGACCGTGACTAAGTTTTACGAAGAGGGGACAAAACGAAGGTAGATTCCTCAGGTATACTAAGACTGCCAATTAAGTAACAGGACTTATGCTTAACTACAATAAAACCTATTCCTATTATCCATTATATCTTGGTTGATGGGGAAGTATAGCTCATCTAAGGATGGATTTGAAAGGAAACCTAAGCATTATATTGCTGTAGTTGGAGATATAAAATTGTCCCAGATTACTAATAAGTGGCAAAACTGGGATTCAAACCCAGTTACCAGTATTATTACTACTTAGAGTACCTGAAACTAAAGACTGAGTGAGGGAGTGTGTGTATGTGTGTTTTGTTTTGAACTGTGTTATGCTGTCTCTCTGGGAAACTGCAGGAATCACTTATTGGACAGTTGAGATGAAAAACTTTTAAGTAAGAGTTAAACAGTGAATATACATACACAGAGAGCAGGGTCTTGTGTAGACAGACTTCTCTACTGGGATTTGTATCACGATCACATTCATGTTCCACCTATACTCACAGAAATCTTTCAAACTAAAGTTCTGTGATAATAATCTTGGCACATACCATTTTATATTAATATGAGAATGATGGCTATCTTAAAGTAAAACAGTACATTTTAACAGATAAAGTTTTATAGCTCTAAAACAAAAATAAAGCTAACTTGTTTATCCCTATTTGATTTGCTGCTTGTTCAGGTTAATTTCTCATATACAAAACTTTTTCTAGATGACAAATTTGAACTACCACTAACTATATAAGAAAATCAACCATCAGAATCCCATACTATCTTTATAAATTAAACATTACAGTTTTTTCCTAATATCCTTTTTCTAAACATAAGTCATAGTTGATTTACTTTTATTTTCATTTGGTAAGTAATTGTTATACTTCCTTAATAGGACCTATACTGCTATAACTTGGATTATAAAACTATACTGTATGTACTGTGTATACTATATACTTACTAATTGTATGTAGTATATATACATGCATGTGTGTGTGTGTGTATATAATATATATAGTAATTACCAAACAGCAGGACACAGTAATTAAATAATAATGCAAAATAAATGGCTGAACCAAAATATTTGACCATATTAAGCTTTCTACAGAAGGATATTAAGTCATTTAAAGCTGCTAAACACTAAAATTAATCAATGCCATAATAAACCAAAATAGATATGTGATAAAATCTGGAAATATTCATACAGTGTCTGGCCAGCTGCTTGAAAATTTACCATCGTGTTTTTATTCCTTCTGTCATTTAGATTAGGGCCAAAAGAAAATTATTCACAGGCTTTACACTGCAGGAACCATAGCAGTTGCAAATTTAGGTATGAAATATATCTTGTCAATAGCTTCTAAATGCTACCTACTACCCCCATAAAAATTCATTTCCATGTGGTTTAGACAGAGGTCTGTTTTCATAAAGGAACTAAATACATGAAAAATGTTTTTAGAATTTCAAACTTGCTCTCTCAATGATTTTCTTCCATCTCCATAAGATGTTTTATTTTTATTCTGACTTGAGTAAGATTAACTTAATGTGTTACTAACCACATTTATATTTTCAGGTCTAAAAAAATTATACATAGAAACATTGGTTTTTAGACATTAGCCTTTTTATACTGCAGAAATTATGATAATTGGGGATGATTAACAGTGCTTGGTAAAAAAATCTTTGGTAGGAAATATATCACCTACAAAAAGCTTGACATAAAAGTAAAAAAATACAGAGGCTACTACTTAAGACCAGGGATTCATCCTTATTTATCTATCAAATTTTTAAGGCTTTTTATTTAAACTGTCATATTTATATAAATTTATGCTTTAAGATAGGAACTAACAGACTGCTTGCTGGTAGCAATGTAACTTGATAAAACTTGACAGTGTAAAAAAAAAAAAAAAAAACAAGCCTTAGAAATGTCATCCATTCTATCCAAAAAAGTAATCAGAAATATAAACAACTTATGAACGGATACTGACTTTATTAATAATGTTCAAAACAAATGTCTCCAAATGAGTAAATATTGAAGTAAATTATGGTATGTAAATGACAGAATGCTATATTATTATAAACAAGAGTTATTAATGACATGAAAAAGGCTTATTGTACAATATTGAGAAAAGTAGGATGTTAAGTTGTACATCCAAACATGGTATTAAGTGTGTTAAAAAAAAGCACATATGCACTGGAAAAAGAAGTAGTAAATAAAAATGTAAATAGTAATTAATTCAACTTTATAAATTTGTTCTTTTAAGAAAGTAGCAAAAAAGTGCTTTAAAATTTTCTTCCATATAAAGTACATTAATAAACTTTTCTTCATGATTTAGAAGTCACTATACAATTTGTACAAATGATATTTACCTCATCATCATCAGGAACTGGTTCATATAAGGATGGTACCCAAGCAAGAATATTGCAGTCTCTGCTACCACTATAAAGTTCCTAGAACATGGAAAGCAAAGAGATGACTGCGTTAATTTCAAGTTGATACCAATATGAAACAAACTACATTAATTTTTAAATGACTAATTTGTAGTTTACATCAATTAGATTACCTCTATTTCTACTCCAAAGAACTGACTTGTGCCCTTTAAAAATGTTTATTTGTTGATGTAGTATATCTTTTATATAAACACAATATTATGATGCCTCGGAGCTTGCTAATGTGAAAAATTTACAAAAACAGTCAACACCATACTGGTTTTTATCATTTATAGTATTTGTTTATTTCAAGTGTCAAAGTAGAGAAAGAAAAAAAAATGGAAGAAATAGTTTGTCTTCTGTCAGTAACTAAGTTTTAATAAGACTCCAATGAAGAAACCATATGAGTTTCTAGCCAAAAGTTCATAATGTTTTACCTAGCTCACAGTTGCCTAACTGGCTGCTGTTCAACTTAAGGACCTTTAAGATCCATATGCTATGCTCATTGAGAAGTTCATTCTACAAGGGAAAACTTGGGCTGATGCGTAGTCCATCTGTGTCAGTGTCTTTTAGGATATGCTGTTGGCACGTGGCTGAACGATGTTCATTTCCCTACCTCAAAAACCTTAAGGAATATATTATATTGGTTTGTACGGAAACATTCCTATGGGAGAGTGAAACAGATTCGGTCATATACACAGGGCGTAAACTGGTATAATCTTTTCCGAAAACAGAATCTCAATATATATAAAAAATTCTTGTATGCATTTCTAAGTCATGCCAAAGACACACATGGAATTCAAGGATATCATAAGTATTATATTTCTAATAAAAAAAGAAATAATTGTCCAAAGTTGAGTAATGATTTATATATAAATTTATGTTGCATTCATATGATGGATTACTATATATAGCCATTAAATTTATTCTTGAAGACTATTTAATGACATGGGAAATCACTCATAGTAATGTCAAGAGAAAAGAATAAGATATACACCAAATACTCGGAGCGTGAAGGAAAAAAACAGGATGTAAAATACTAGGTCCATTGAAAAAAAAGCTACTTGGCAACAAAAAGAATAAAAAGCAAAAAGTAGCAAAGTGTTAAGTGATTGTAAAACTGAATGACTAAGTGATTTTTCCCCCCTCAGGAATAATTTCCATATTTCTACACAAATATTATTAACAATGTAACTTTTGTCTGTTCTGGTATCTAGTTATTTATCTTTATTATTGTTCTTCTCAAAGACTAGTTGAAACCTGGTACAACTAGTATTTTTCTAAAAAAAAATAGGGATTCTGAATAAAGGAAAAATAAGATTATGAAGTTATTTATAAGAATATAGCCTGGCTGGCGTAGTTCAGTAGATTGAGCGTGGGCTGCGAACCAGTGTCGCAGGTTCGATTCCCAGCCAGGGTACATGCCTGGGTTGCAGGCCATAACCTCCAGCAACTGCACATTGATGTGTTTCTCTCTCTATCTCCTTCCCTTCCCTCTCTAAAGATAAATAAAATAAAATAAAATAAAAATAAAAAAATTAAAAAATAAAATTAAAAAAAGAAATATAGATGTAAAAAATTAAATTAGATTTAGTTAAACATAATTAAATTTCTTAAAGAGAACAAAATGATATAAAACTATACTATGAAATATAGTATATATGGTTATAATAACTGTAGATAATGCGGAGATATATTCATATGTCCAATGCCCTCAAGCAATTTAATTTTCTGAGAAGGCAAGACACATACCCAAGATATTAAACTTAAAAGGCAATTCATGCTTAAGTACTGCTATATTGATAAAGATACAAAGAAAATTTTGTAGATGTTCAAGAAAGAGAGCTTGAAAGAGAACACTTCAATCAGAATGATTCAATAAAGACTTTACTTAAATGGAGGTATTAGAATTGAGTTTTGAAGCTTTTTAGGTAAGTGTAGGAGTTCAGTTGGCTAATTAGATTAGAAAAAAACACCAATGCTTACAGAAAAGTTATAAATGTAACACAAAAGTAGTTTTTTTCCTGAAACATGAAGGTAAATTGCCAACATGAGGCCCTATCACCCTGGAATAATTCAGTGTTTATTACCTGTGAATATGGACATTCTCCTACATAATTACAATGCTATAAACAAAATCAGAAAATTCAGGAGGGATCCAAGATGGCAGCAGAGTAGGTGGAAGGTACACTCACCTCATCTCAAGACCAAATTGTAATTGCAGCTACATTATAGAATAATCAACCTGAATGACCAACTAAAGAGTCACTGAACAAGAAGTCTTATAAGTAAGAAATACACAAAAACCCATGCTGAGACTGAAGGGTGGAGACAAGAAAAGGGCTGCCCCTGCTCCCATAGGCAGTGCTTGAGAATTCAGAGGGCTATCTCAGCTGCAAAGGACCCCCCTAAGGAGTAAGGGGGCTCAACTCCACACCAGGTTCCCCAGTCCAGCCTCCAGAGCTGGGAAGAGGGGCCCACATGATATCTGACTGTGAAAATCACTGGGGATTCTGTCTGCCAGGGTGAGAGGAAGCTGCTAGAAAACCAGGAGCCCTTTTAAAGGGCCAGCATACAAAATCTAAATTGCAGGCACTCACCCTGAGCTCCAGCTGAGGATGATGATTCAGAGCAACCTAGGGTCATACAGGGAGAGATTAGGTTGTGTACCTTTGGGAAGAGGGCTAGAGGGACAGCCACCAGTGTCCCTGCATTGAGTTCCTCTCCTATGTTGCCCACAGCTGCCCATTTTTCCTGGGTACAGCACTCCCCTCAGTATGGCATCAGCCTTGGGGAATGCACTGGTCCCACCCACCCGACTCCCTATGGACCCCCCTACCAAGCTCACACCCTGCAGGGGAGCCTGCCAGCTGCAGCCAGCCAGTGACTGTGATTCGGTCTCTCTTGGAAGGTTCTCAAAGAGGTCCAGGAAGGTTCTCATGATCTAGGAATGTGTGTGTCTCTGACACCCTACTTCTCAGAGGGTGTCAGAGACACAAAGGGAGAGACTGAGTTGTGTGTCTTTGGGGCGAGGGTCATTTTTCCCCATGAGCTTTACAGACACCACTGTTCCTATGCACAGCCCTCCCACCACACAGCCAAATCTCAATTTGTTTTAGCCTGCTGAACTCTGCTGGCCCTACACTGATGGTTTCCTGTGACACTGCCACACTACAAAGCATTGCAGGCCTCAGGTGGGTGATGGATGGCCTTGGTGTATCCTGAGACTTTCGCTGAATGGCCTCAGACCCAGTACTGGTGCCAAGTCTGAATTTGTATCAACCTGGTGAATACCACTTGCCCCTAGCCAGACTCAGAGCCTGCCTCACACAACTTAAATACTGCCAGAGACTCAATAGCTGAGCTTAACATCCAGCTGGCAAGTGGAGATGAAATCTTAGGGAGCCTTTGGCCTTTTGCTGACCTGCCCCCAGCTTGGTACTGGATGCCCAGGTTAGTCCCTCCCACACCCATCCAGGCCCAGCAGAGGCAGACATCAACTGTGAATCACTCTGTAGCTCCTAATAGGTAGCCCAGGACTGATCACAGGGAGTGCCTGACAGTGACCTGCACCAGAGCCCCTCCGAAAATGCCCTGGAACCAACACATCCAGTGGCTGGCTTCAGACCACATGAGAGCATGACTGAATTAGTTCCATAAGTGCCACACCCAAAGGGAGATCATGACAAGCACAAGATCCTTTGGGGACAAATTCTGTTGTGAGTTCAGCTCCTGCACAGCAGCTTGTACACAGTGATCAGGGCCAACCCCACCCAAGGATACATCAACAGCAATCAAGTCTAAAATATAGCAGGAGGGCTCACATAACCCACACAGGGGACATTCCTAGTGGACCTAGTTCAGGTAATCAGGACTACACCACTGAGGCCCACAGGGCACCTACAACATAAGGCCACCCTACCAAGACTGGGAAACAGAGCAGATCTATGTAGGATACAGTAACAAATAGAAAGGCAGCCAAAGGGAGGAGACAAAGAAACATGTCCCCAAATGAAAGAAGAGAAATCTGCAGAAAAAACTAAATGAAATGAAGGCAAGCAATCTGTCAGTTACGAAATTCAAAACACTAGTTGTAAGGATTCTCATTGAACCTAGGGTGAGCTCAAACAAAGAGATAGCAAACAGAAAAAAGAACATAGAAACCATAAAAAAGAACCACTCATAAATAAGCAATGCAGCATCTGAAATAAAGAGTATACTGGGGAGGAATTGATAGCAGGCTGAATAAAGCAGAGGATCAAATCAGTGATTTAGAGGACTAGGTAACAGAAAACACCACATCAGAGCAGTAAAAAGAAAAAATCATTTTAAAAAATGAGGATAGTTTAAGGGACTTCTGGGACAAGATGAAGTGTAACAAAAGCCACATCACAGGGGTACCAGAATGAATAAAGCGAGAACAAGGGACTGAGAACCTGTCTGAGCAAACAATGACTGAAAACTTCCCTAACTTGGTGAAGAGAAAACATACTTAAGTCCAGAGAGCACAGACTCCCAAAACAGATGAACTCAAAGAGGCCCACAAAACTCATCAAAATTAAATGTCAAAGTCTAAAGACAAAGAGAGACTTTTAAAGCTCCAAGAGAAAGACAATTACCTACAAGGGAGCTCTCATAAGAATGTCAGTTGATTTTACAACAGAAACATTTCAGGCCAAAAGAAATAGGCATGAAATATTCAAAGTGATGAAAAGCAAAGACCTATAACCAAGACTTCATACAGCAAGGCTATCATTTAAAATTGAAGGAGAAATAAAAAGCTTTCCAGACAGAAAAGCTAAAGGAAGTCATCACCACCAAACAGTTTTACCAGAAATGTTAAAGTGACTTCTTAAAGAAGAAAAAACAAAGAGGAACATAAATATGTACAAGAAAATGGCAATATATGTACCTATCAATAATCACTTTAAATGTAAATGGATTAAATGCTCCAAGCAAATGCAAAGGGTAGCTGAATGGGTAAGAAAATAAGACCCATACAAGAAACTCACTTCGGACCAAAAGACATACACAGACTTAAAGTAAAGGGATGGAAAAAGATACTAGACACTTCATGCAAACGGAAACGAAGAAAGCTGCGGTAATAATCTTATATCAAACAAAGGCTATAATAAGAGACAAAGAAAAACACTGCATAATGATAAAGAGATCAATCCAATAAGAGGATATAACTCTTGTCAATTATTTATGTGTCCAAAATAGGAGTACCTAAATGTATAAAGAAAATGATGGACATAAAGGGAAGAAATAAATAAAATTTTAGACTCACACAAACATAAATCAAGATACCCAAACTATATTTTGATATTAGACACATATATTCTACTTTTCCCAAAAGATTGTTTGCACAAAAATTATTTTAACTTGCCAGAAATTTTCAACAGCTAAATAAATGGAGCCTGTATGCAAAAGCATGCTCAATTAATGTCTTGAATTGAAAGCTATTAACTTTAACTGGTCTAACTGACCATGGAGCACAGTCCAGCAAGAAATTGCCAGCATGAAACTTCCCAAACCACTTTTGACACGTTCAATCAGTCATAGCACTTTCTCCATACAATGCACAAATCTTTCTTTGCATTTCAGTTGTGGTTTTTTTTGTTTGTTTCATTTGGGTCAGTTGAAGTTGATAGTGATCAAATCAAGACATTAATTGAGAACAATCGACATTATACCATGCAGCAGATAGTTGACATACTCAAAATATCCAAATCAATAAAGTTATTGGTGTAAGTGAGAAATGTGTCTTATTTCATGGAAAGAAAAACATATAGACTTTTTGGCCAACCCAATATAATTCGTCAGAATGAAATTACAATTTATTCTTTTACATAGAACTAGCCTGGCAAATTAGCTACCTGAACATTTTAAATTCCCTTAAGTATCATGCTTACCTGGAAATTAGATTGAAATACACAGCAGTCAACACTCTTATAATGTCCCTTAAGCATAGTTATCTGTTCTCCTGAGTAAATTGTATAAACAGCAATGGTGCTACCATATGGCACAAAAACAAATTCTGAACTGCAGCCACAGGAGACAGCAAATTTCAGTCCTTTTCTACTGTCATTATAAACTTTTCCATAATTCACCTGTAGGATGTAAAATGATAAAGTTACTCATTTCTTAAATCTGAATTAAAAAGACAACAAAAATTAGAGAAGTATTTACTTAAAATAATTGAATATACTATAAAAAGCATTCTTACATATCTAAAAAAAAATGACCAATGTTCTAATACAAATAAAGGCCAATGATATGAATATATATTTCACATAAGAGAAATACAGAGAGTAAAAAAAAGCTGCTAAAGCAAATGTTCACATTCATTCTTGATAGAAATAAAAATGCAAATTAAGGTATCCTTTAAGAATAATTTTCAACCATTTAGCAAAGATTTTAAGAAACCATAAGACAATATGGGTACAAGTGATATGAACATGTTGGTGGCACTGCAATTTGGTCATTCCTTCTAAAAGACCAAATTGTTTATTATGCAGCAACATACAAAGATATTCTTTTTTTGGGGGGGATAACATTTTTATTTTAAAACATTTTTAATTATGGTAAAATATACATATCAAAATTAGCCATCTTAATCATATATGTGTTCAGCTCAATGACATTAGAAACATTCACAATTGTGCAATCATCACCACCATCAATCTCCACAACTCTTTTCATTTTGTAAAACTGAAACTCTGTACCCATTAAACAACAAATATATTCTTATTCCTTGACCTAGTAACTACTCCTGGGAATTTATGTTAGGGAAATAATTAAACAGCAAAAAACTGTATGCCCAGAGGAATTCAATGCAGCATTAACTCAAATGACAAAATAACTGAGAATATATGTAAATTTCTAATAATATATTAATTCTATAGTTTATATAGCAATTAATATAATAATTATGAAAATTATGCTGAAAATAGGAGTAAAAGCTAAGTATAAAAAAAACACAGAAGCTCTGACTGGTGTGGCTCAGTGGGTTGGGCAACTGATCAATGTTTTTCTCATATATCAATGCTTCTCTCCCTCCCTCTCTCTAAAAATAAATAAAATGTCTAAAAAAAACCATAGAACACAAATAGTGTGTATACTATAATTTCAGTTTTATATACATAATTATGCATTTGGTATAAAAATAAAAATTTTGCAACCGTATGCCAAAGGTACAAGGTCCAACAGTATTGGCATCACCTGAGCAGTCAGAAATGCAGAATTCTAGGGCCTACCCCAATCCTACTGAATTAGAATTTTTATTTTAACAAGATCCCTGGGTGATCTGTAGGCTCATCAAGGTCCAAGAAGCTCTAGATTAAAGAAATTGACAGATTTACTTCCCACTGATAATTTAGATAAGCAGCTTAGGGTAGGTGCATAATAATTTGGGGATTATGAACATGCAGATCACCAAAATGTCCCTTTACAATAACTAATACTAGAGTTTGAACAGTTATTTGTCTTTCTAAGGGTTGGGTGAAAGTGTGTGTGTGTGTGTGTGTGTACAAACACTGAGGCCTATATGGATATTTGCTGATATGTAGACACTACACTTGGGTCACCTCCCCTTACCGTTAACAAGGGACAGAAATGAGCACAGGCATTCAACTACCTCACTGCCCTGTGGTATAGAGTGAAACTTGAAAACATTAAAACTTACAGTCAATAGACTTGTGTTTTTGAAACCCATTCCACACCCTCTTTTTTCTTTGCCTCTTATGAGTAATAAATTATTTAACCTCTGAGTTTCATTTTTCTAATCTGTTCAATGGAAGTAACATCATCAAAGTTATCATGAAAAATCAAATAAAATAATGCATATGAGAGCACCTAGGACATAAAGGTACAGTAAGTTCCTAGATTTAATAATTCCTAGATATATTTAAAAGTATTTAAGACTCAATCTCATTTGCATCTTTTGATCCTACATGTACAACAATTTGTAGAATGCCATGGGTGGGGGGCGGGGATAGTGGAGAAAAACCACAAATCTTCTCAACTAGCAATGTTCTATTCCTCCTAGAAAATTATGAACTGCTAGACTGTGATGGTTTTATTCATATTTATCAGAGCAACTACCTGCAAAACCTACATTCCTTCTAAAATGTGAAGTGGAATGAGGTATACTGGACCAGCTCACTAACTTTTACCTTTGTCCTTATGCATTCAACCCTTCAACCCATCTTGCAAGTTATTGTCCTATTAATCCCTGTAAATCACCGCTGTGATTAAATCACCTATGGGCTCAAAACTACTAATATCTTTTCAATGCCTATGGAATAAAGTTCTAATAACAGATTAATGAAAGGATGGATTTACCTTTTACTAATGCTTACTACATGTCCTATACTGTGCTTGGTGATTATCTAGGTTCCCATTTTATATCTACAAATACCATAAAAAGCAGTGTGATAGATGGCATGATCCATATTATTATGGAATTTCTGTGGAGAAACAGGCTACCTTTGGCTATGAAGTCTTAAAGGTGGTATATACAGGCTTTGAAAAGATCTTGATAGGGCAGGAAAATTACAGACTGGGGATTTGATGATGGCAAATCCAACTCCCTATCTTGTGTGTCCCTTTTATTGTCCCAGAAAATATATCCATCTAGTCACTTAGTAAACACCTACAGTGATGCAGATTCTATCACAAAGCTGCCCATTTTACTGTCAAACAGCATAATAATTACTTAATAGTAATGACAGGCAACATTCACTAAAATGTCAACACTTGTAAGTATAAGACAATGTGTTAAATGTTTTACATGCATTTTCATGTAACATTCAAAACAATACTATGAGATAGGTAACATTTTATATAAAAAGAAAACAGAAAGGTTAAATATTTCAATCAAGGTTTCTTGGCTAGTAAATGACAGAATCAAAAACTGAATCTAGACTACATTAATGAAAAAGCACTGTACCACAGTGTTGTAAACTATTTTCTTTCAGTCCATAAGGTGATGATCACAGGACATTATGATACAAATAAGCAGTATGGACTCTGGCAGCATCTATGCTAGACTAGAGGAGTTAAAGAGACATTGTGCCTCAGATGAATCTTGAAAGCTGAGAAGCAGCTAGGACAGGAAGGAGAGGAATGGTACCCTAAAGCAAAGGCAATAGTAAATATAGCAGAATGGAAGGGAGGGAGAGCATGCCCTATTTAAAGAATTCTAAGTAGCTCAGTATAGATAAGGACAGGGAAAAATAGGAAAATGGCAAGACATAATGCTAGTGAGTACAGCTTATAAAGGCCTTGTGCACAAGAGGCAAAGGCATTCAGTTTCAACAACCTGAGCATATTGAGGAAACACTGAAAAACTTCCACTGGGAGATGAGTTTGGGAAAAGTTAGAAAGTGATTAAATAGAGACCATGAAGGCCCAGATTGAGGTTGGAAAAGAGGTATGAAAAAAAATCAAGATGGGAGAATTACAAGGTTTTGTAATTGATTTAACAGCTGGGATAAGGGACCAGGAAGAATAAAGGACAGACCCCAGTTTCTAGACATTGGTAACTAGTGAATGATGATACCAGTAACTAAACAGTAAGGACCAGAATGGCTATTTTGAAATTTTCTTCTTTTGTTCCTAAAGCTGCCTTTCTGTGAATTGTTCACTCTGTACTCTAAGGCAATGGTCTCCAAAGTGCAGTTCCCACACCTCAGGGAGTCTGCAAAATGATCTATTAAGGTATAAGAAGAAAACAGAGAACTTCTATTTCATTTTAATGTGAAAAATAAGAAATTAAGCTTTTATGAAATATATAGACTCACAATACTATTTGTGTATAATTCATAAATAATTATACATATACTGGAAGCATGTATTAATATATCTTTTTTAAACCTTTAAGGGCACTACTAATAAGGCAACACCAATATAATAGTTATTATTTATGGTATACATCTACTATTTAATAGGTACAGTACCACTGTTTACATACTTTCATTTTGCCCTTACAATTACTGTTTTGGTACATAATAATCCCAATCACACGATGGAGACACTGAAACTCTGACTGTAGTCCTTCATGATGTCACTGTGAATAAATTGTCAAGTGTCTTCAAATTACTACATGGCAGGACTGGAGTTTGCTTCTTATTCTGTCTCACAGCCCTTTAAATATTTGAAGACAGTGTGTTACTCTAAAGACAGTTACTTTTACTGAGATCAATGTCTGAAATTCCTTTAAGTGTTCTTTGTAGGTGAATTTCTGGCCTACTCTAGTCACCTTTGCATGAACAACTTTTGCTTTGATCAAAGTCATTTTAAAATGTACTATCTATTTTAAACACACTATTCAAGATAAAAATTTATTAGCAAAAACGCAGAGGGTAAGGAGAGAAAAGTTGAATAAAATCACTTTAACAATTTATGTATTCAATACCATTTATATTTATCACACCTACCTTTGACACACATGCCAGCCTACTTTTCCCAAGTGACCCTGTCATTTCTCCCTCTAAAAGTCTTGAGTGACTCTCCACTCCATCCACTGAAAAAGCCTAAACTCATACAAAGACCCAGAAGCCTACATACTCTGGTGTCCTGTTCCTCCTCTCCTATTACTCTCCCACGTGGTTATTCTAACACAAAAGCACCTTAGATGTTCCTTGGGTATTTCAAGCATGCTTCAGCCTCAGCGTCTTTGTATTTTCTTTCTTTCTTTGCCTGGAATGCTCTCCTTCCCAGATATCTGATGGATCACTCCTTCATTTCCTTCAGGTCAAATGTTATCTTCTTAGAGCTACCCTGACTACTCTATGGAAAAACAGCAACTCCAACTTCCTAATATTTTCTATGCCCCTTTCTTGCTTTTCTTCATAGCACTTACCACATCTATCACATATTTTATGCATCCATCCATCCATTTATTAATTGGAAAGACTGATGTCTTTCTTCCTCTCCCTGGAATGCAAGCTCCATGAGGATGACTTTTCTATGTTTTGTTTACTGCTGTATAATACTGCCTGGCAAATAGGAAGTACTTAAAAAATATTTATTAAACAAATAAATAAAAAGAGAAAAAGAAGGTATGATCTAATTAGAAATGGAAGATTCTAAACTAATTTGCAATGCCTGAGTTTCTAGCCTGAGACATAATGAAGAAGCATTTAATAAAGAATATGAAGAACACTGTATAAACAATTTTGATCACATAGTAAAATTAGTATTTAATTAAGAAAGCGATACCCAGAGTACATGAAAGTGAATTAGCTAGAAAGAATGACTAAAGAAAGGAACATTATTAATATTAATACCTACCTTAAGATATTAAACAAATGCTTTAGAATCCAAGTGCCCATCAATAGATGAGTGGATAAAAAAGCTGTGGTGTATATATATACACAAAAGAATATTACTCAGCCATCTAAAAAAAATGAAATCGTACCATTTGCTGCAGCACAGATGAACCTACAAGGTATTATGCTTACTGAAATAAGCCAGAGAAAGACAAATAACACATGATTTCATCTAAAGAACAAAATAAATGAACAAACAAAATAGAAACAGACTCACAGATGCAGAGAATAGACTGATGGTTGCCAGATAGGAGGAGGACTGGGGGACTGGGTAAAATAGGTAGAGGGATTAAGAAGTACAAATTGTTAGTTACAAAATAGTCACAGGGATGTAAAGTACAGGATAGGAAATACGGTCAATAATATCATAATAATTATGTACAGTATCAGGCAGGTACTTGAAATATTGGGGGATCACTTTGTAAAGTACTTGTATATAATTGTCTAACCACTATGCTGTGCATCTGAAACTGATAAAAACAGTATTGAGTGTAAACTGTAACTAAAAAACCCCTACAAAAATAATACTTTAAGAAGTCTGGGTATAATCAGCATTATGGTGATAGTAAAATCTAGAGTCAAACTGTTGTACCTGTGTACACTTAGGCAAGTTACCTAACTATTTTATGTTTCATTTCCTCATGTGCATAATGGCTATTTTAACAAGAACTGCATTGATAGTGTTGATTAAATACGATCATATATGCTCCAGCACACATATTAAATGTTAATTTTTATTAGCACAGGATCTGGCACATTAACTCTCAATAAATATAAAGTGTCAAATTTTATACTATATGTGACTTATAAGCAAAATCCAAAGTTAGTACACAGAACATAGAGTATTTTAGTACTAAAATAAATGTGTTTTAAAGGTGCTAGATTCTTAACTGGTAATTGATTTCTAATACTTTTTGAAAATTCATGTTATGGTCCTTGCCAGGCACACCTACGGTTTTGTTACTTTGTATCAGTTGTTCCCAATCTTTTATGCACAGTGGATCAATAGAGCAACACTTCGCTACTATGTGGGGAGACTGGTGAGGGTGAGGTGGGGTAGATTGTCTTGAGTTGTGAATTACTAGTTCAAATAATGGGAAAATGTTATAAAAAGAAAGCTGTGATTCAGAGTTAAGAAACAGAGTTAAATCTACAGAAAAAAAAATCAAGTGTATGACACAGATCCATTTCTTTATTTTACATTCTAAAGGTGGATGTATTTAAAAATCTCTTACTAGTGTGTTCTCTCCACTGGAACTATTCCAGAGCCTCATTCGATTATCTGTACCGACAGTGAGGAGGTGAAGCCCATCACTTGTAAAACACAAGCCATTAACCTTCCCATTATGAGCAGTGTTTGCTGCAATGAAAAATACAATTTCGTTTACACGTTCTTGTATTCAGCACACATTTAATACTTGTTGATCTACTTATTTAAACATACTAAAGGGCAACTACTTGAATTACTTAAAATGTATAGTGGATTATATTTAAAATTAATCATCCCTTTGGATTATTTGAATATAAGCTACTGTATTTTGCTGTGTACAATGCATTCTTTTTTGCCCAAATTTTTGAGGGAAAAATAAGGATTAGCATTATACATGGGCATCACCTGAAATGCCTTGTCTCTGTTCTAGTGTTTCGTAATTATTTATTACTTAAAATTTATCGTACCATAATATGTTCAAAAATAAATGCCAAAATTCCTTTGTAATACAAAAAAAAGGATCTGAATATAAATAGATAAAAGGTTGAATTAAAAAATTAAAATGAAAGATTTTTTCCTGGAGGTTTGGGCCAAAAACCTGGTGCACATTATACATGGGAGTCTATTATACACAGCAAAATATATTATATAAATTAGAACCATAAAAATAGAGGAAAACTGAAAAACCAAAGGGAGAAAATTCTGCCAAATATATTTGTCTTTAAAAAGCTGTGCTATAAAACTCAATTACATAGTTTAACACTAAAAATTTAATTTAAGCACCTTTCAAACTTCTTATATATTATTTCTATTTTGAATCTAAAAATCAATCCACAGAATATTAAAAATCATTAATGATACTATTTCCTATTTAAAAACTTTAACAAAAAAGGAAACCTGTTCTAGTCTCAATCAAAATTTATATTACTTTTAAAATAAACAAGTTTGAAAAAGCATAATTCTCAATAGCCTTATTTATTTAAATAAAAAGATTATTTAAAAATCATAGATTTTACATAGTTCTTCCTTATATATTTCTGGTCCAGAATTAATCGTGAATCAGAATTTTAATGTACACAAAAATTAAATTCTGTTGAAAAAAATACAGTGTGGTATTTTATCTCCTGGATTGCAGCTGGCATATTTAACACAACTTGCAAATTTTATTGTGACACAATGGCCACTAAATGTCACTATTCTTTCAACTTACTACTTTCTAAGTGGCACTAAATTGTATAAATTGGCATCATTGGAGGAAAAAAAGGTAACAAATTAATCCAGAAAAGTTTCTCCACTTGAAAATTCAGTGACAGATGAAATGCCATATTTACTTGCGTCTTAAAGACAACCATAATTTATTTAAATTATGAAATTGATTCATTGTGAATGACTTTTTTAAAAATCACAAAATTTGAAATTTGTCTATATACATTTATTATTTGGTTTCACTCAAAATTTTTAAAAAATACTATTTTTTATATTTCTCTGTTAGTGCATTCTTCATTACCTGATTCAACAGCTTGTGAGTTTTTCCCATTATGCTGATCAAGAGTAATCAGACATCCTGATGCTCTCCTCACATCCCATAATTTCACTCTACTGTCGGCACTGAGAAAAAATAAATGTTACATTGACATATATAACTAGGATAGTGACTGCACCCTCTTCACCTACCTTTCCAGTACTATGGCACATAGAGGGCTCAGGATATTTGTACATTTGGGTTATTTTCAGCAAATATTAAATAGTCAATAGGAGCACAAAGAAATAAAAACATTTTAAAAAGTAACCTTTTCTTAGATCACAAGGACAGAATTCTGCTACTTTTCATTTTGTTTTTAATGACATGAACATCATTCTCCCCAAGGACTAGTTAGGCTTACAGCTTGATACTTATTTAAGCAACTTTGTCACTACATCCTTACTATTTTTATTATTCAAATGTCCTCTAGACAATCAAGCAGTTAACTAATTCCCCTTTGCTTCAGGATCCATTTCATGAATTTGGTGGTTTTTTTTAATGTGATAAAAACATCAGAACAAAGTGAATAATAAGAACAATGTATTTTTATTTGACTTCCTGTACTCAAATAATCTTTGCCCAATATACAAGAAAGAAACTTAATGTCTTCTGGAAATTAGATATTTATTTTAATTTTAGAGGAAAAACCATGATCACACTTTATTTTCAACTTCTAAACTACTACTAAAAATATACTGATCAGTTCAACTCACGCTTTCATATCCTCACAAAGACCTCAACAATATTCTAATCCACTGGGTTTCTACAGGCCATTTTAATTAGAAAACCATTGCATTGCATTTTATAAACCTATTCCCCATTAAAAGGTAAATCATATATATGATTGGGCTGGCCAAAAAGTTCATTTGGTTTTCTCCATAAACTAGCTCTAGTACAGCTTAGTTGTCTTTAACTTCATTTGAAACAATTTTGTTTGATTGTATTGTGACAGCTGTCACATTAGCATGCATTGAAAAAAAGACTTGAAAAAGATCAAAACTATGAACAATGAAATAGCAATAAATACATATCTTTCAACATTCAAATGTAAAAATAAACAAGAAAAACAGAAAAAAAAAGAATCAAAACTGGTGGATTTTTGTGTAGTCAGTTTAATACAAAAGGTGGAAGAAAATAAGCAACATTTTTGGCATATTATGCTTTAGTATTTCAATATAGGTAAAAATGCAACTGAAACTCAAAATAAGATTTGTGCCATATATGGAAAAGGTGCTGTCACTTATTGAATGTATCAAAAATGGTTTGCAAAGTTTTGTGCTGGTGATTTCTTGCTGGACAACACTCCACAGTCAGGTAGCCCAGTGGAAGCTGACAGCAATCAAGTCAAGACATTAAATGAGAACAGTCAATGTTACACCATGTGGGAGATATATATATACATCTCTTTGATTCATTTCACAGATCACCATCACAGCTAGCCAATTAGAATAGTAAGCAAAAAACTAGCATTTTCCATTCTCAAGTTGGTTTTCTTTCTTTCCATCTGGGGAAAACGTGTGCCATGGGATAAGCCTGAGGATTTAAGTCTCTTCTGAAACAGATTAGATTTAAAGATACCTGACTCCTAACACTGATTACTAAATTCATTCTGGTACTGACTCAAATTCCTTGGGTACTCTGAGAACCAAATGCCTCTTGGCCTCCCTGTGATTTGAGGAAAACCCAGTTAGGCATAAACAATGTGACTTCACCCTAACATGGACCCACAACAAGAACCTAGCATCTCCCTATCACACCTCTTTAGCCAGCCTCTTAAGGCTACATTGTAGACCTTGTTCTACTTCAGAAATTTTAAATTTCAACCTAACATTCTACAAACTATTAACAAATAGTCTTTGGGGACCAAACTGTGACAGAGAGGGAGGGCTAGAAGCTTTATAAAAATCCAGACAGATATCTTTATAAAACTAATCTGAATAACTTTTGTAATAATTCTGCAAAAAAGTTTTACCAAAACATCTATATCAAAAAATTTGGCTACTAGTTCCTACCCTTCAGTTTTTTAATTTTCTTACTCTAATACACATACTTCTTCTATCTCATTAGGTCATTGATCCCCTTCCATAAACCTTTTTGTGATTTTTTTAAAAGATTTTATTTATTTTTAGAGAGGGGAAGGGAGGGAGAAAGAGAGGGAGAGAAACATCACTGTGTGGTTCCCTATTGTGCACCCGCAACTGGTGACCTGGCCTGCAAACCAGGCATGTGCCCTGACTGGGAACTGAACAGGGGACCTTTTGATTTGCAGGCCAGCACTCAATCCACTGGACTACACCAGCCAGGGCCCTTTTTGTGATTTTATTTCCTTCCTTACACCCATGACTTCAACAATTTCCACACAATCGTTAAGTCTGTGTCATTTAATGTTTTGATTTCTGTAGCTTAGTACACAGCTGTGGTCCACACCTTCAACTAAGCACACAACACCAACCAGCATTCTTACGTGCCCCTAAAAAGATCTCTCGCCAAACTGTTAAAAGTGTTCATCCAAAGCTTTACTACTTTCCTTTAAAATTCCATCCCCATTCTGGTATTTTCAATAGATGACATGAAGTTCTACTCCACTAAAAAACAATAGAGGCCACTAGGTTTGCACTTCTTGAACTCACTGCAAAGTCACAAATTAAACTGGATTCATGTCTACCCTTTCCTCCATCCATTTGGTCTCCCAAAGCCCTTCATGTGTCAAATCAAGTGTCCCCCTTCTACCTGGACCCTTGACACCATCCTCTTCCATCTGTTTAAGGTCTTGAGGTAACAACTATTCCCCCCATTTCTTACCTTCACCGATTTTTCTCTACTGATACTTTCTTCTCAGCATTTAAACAGGAAAGATTCTTCCCTCCAGCAAATAAAACCCCCCAGAAGCACTTAGATTAAGTGCTTCTGCTCTCTTTTCCCATATTACATCTCTCAGAGCTGTAACTCTATTAAAGCATTTTCAGTATGTCCTGTAATCGCTAATTTTTTTTTTGACTACTCCCCATAGACTGTTAGCTTCTTGAAGGGCATATGCCTTGGTTTAACTGTGGCGCTAGCACGGTGTTTTGCACATGGTAGAAAGTCATTAAATATTAGTAAATTGAATCAATGAATTGACAGATGTATCCAATCAGATTCAAAGTAATTCTGGATTACAGAAAGTGAATAAAAAGCTACTGAATAGTGCTATACTTGTATATGCAAAATAGACACAACACAGTTATTTATTGTTATTCCAGCAGTACTAGATTTACATTGCTACATAAATTCTCTTGTTTTCTCTATTTTAAAAAGTGAGCACCTTCAAGAAGCACAGTGAGTATCAGAATTATGATGCCAAGGAAGATTTCTTCTGGTGTTATTAATTAAAACCTGTAACTCAATTATTTTATGTTTAAGGACCCAATTAATAACAAAACATGCATCTTACATAAATGCAGTCTTTCATTACATAAATGATAATGTAGTTTTTCATTAATTATTAACTTCAAGACCAAATTATCTGCAATTTACCTTGCAGTTGCCAAGATATGTTCATAACGTGGTGACCAGGAAACTGCCAATATTTCTTGCCTGTGACCTGCAACAACAACTGTATGAAAAGTCTTGCAAAATATTTGGAAAATCAAAGATGAAGTACAATTATTTTTTTGATTCTGAAGAAAGTAAAAAATATTAGTGATAGATTGATAAAAAATCTGTTTAAATATTAATGTGAAATCTATAGGGCATTTCACTCACATGGTATTCTATTATAGAAGGCCTGGTTTTGCTTTGGAAAGAACAGGCAGAGCAAGTGATTCTTTCTTTTTAAATTCAGCTATTGGCCTAATAACTCAATCCACCGGTAGTGGATAGAGCTCAAGCTCACTCACTTGTCTCTACGGCAAAAGCCATTGTAACATACCATGCAAGATAAACATGCTAAACAATAAAAGAAGTTTTCAAACTTTTCAGAAAGTTATAAAACAAAAAATTATTTAAATTCATAACTATGAAAAAACACGTATAAAAATTTTTTCTACAAAGCACAAGTGCTGAGTTCATAGGATAAGTGACATTCAGCATCTTAATTCACTTTTACTTAACTATTCAAATCAGTTATTTTAATTTACCTAGTTTATATCAAATAGAAACTCATAATAATATGAAACAAATGTTAAATCTTCCCCCAAGTTTTCCTTACATATTTATTAAATGTTTCTGAGATGAATAAAGATGTTATATTTCTGAATTACATCCCATTCTTTCATTGTTTAGAATTAGATGATCTAATATCAATAAAAAGTAGCAAAAATAATTTAAATTAATATAACTTTACCAAAGTATTATTTTAATATCTTTCTAAAATATTTTCACTGAGAAAAAAAGCACCTAAGTATTAGAATCTTTACTCAGCCAGAGCAATATTACACTATGTTCATGAGACAAATGTACTCATTTAAGTTTCATAAAAAGTTTATTTTTTCACATGTAGAAATAACAGTTTTGAATTAGACCTTTGAGCTCCCCCTATGGTGACTGTTCATGTAAATGTCTCCTAAATAGTTCAGTCTTAAAGAATAATGCACAGAAGGATCTTTATTTCCCTGTTGACTTTTAACAACTACCACAAAATACATCAGTCATGTCACTTACAAAGAATACATTGTTAGTAATGTTTCTTTTTATTGAAAGTACTCAAAGTAATTATTGTTACAAATAAAAAATACCCTGTAGAATGTGGCAACAGGATCCAGACTTTAAGTCACAAAGTTGTACTTTGGGTCCTCTAGTACCAACTGTAAAACAAAAATAAGGATGGTTAAAGATAATTTTATTTTAAGTCATCACCAAAAGGAAATAAGAAACTACCATTATGAATTATGGCCTTTTCACTGCATCCACGCAGAAATATGAAAATGTAGTCTAAAAATGCACTTCAAATCACTTTTAATGTTTATAATTAGAAAACTTATTTTAATAGTAGTTACATTTTAGTACTAAAACAACTCTATTATTGCATTATTTTTTTAACATTTAATTTAGAAATAATTATATTTGCTTACAGAAAGTTGCAAAGATAGTATGGAGAGGCCCTTGTTTACACTTCAGTCAAGTACCCTAAATAGTTACGTTAGGTAACTATAGTACAATATCAAATCCAGGAAATTTGTATTGGTACAATGTGGTATATAATTCCATACTATTTTATCATCTTCAATTATTTTATTTTAATAGCTTAGGTTTTCCAAGATAATGAAATACTTCCAGTCACTAGTAGTAGATTCATAGACAGTCTGGACACAGAAAGAGTGGAGCCCAAAGACAATTTTGTGCCCATCTCTTCTCTAAGATGAAGTAGCTGACTGACGTCTGGAGGTGAGGAGATTCAGGCAGCGCCAGAGAATAATAAAATTACAGGGACCTGACCCCTGACACCAGAAAACATTTTTTCTTCCAAAAACATGAAAATTTTGTTGCAGGTACTTCCATAAAAATGGATGTTTAATTTGAATCGCACGATTTTAGAGAAAAGGAAATAATTCCCTTGTTTTATTGTGTCAAATTGAAAAAGCTGTCAAACTTTGTTCATGTAAAATCTTTGAAACTTTGGTGGTTTATAAGTGATTCTCTGGGAACAGAAATATACCTTCTTAACTAATCTTTGCTTCCTACCCATTAGCACAATGCCTGACTTGCACAATTACTATTAAACTGAATATAAATAGCAACATGCACTTAAGTCTTTTCTAAAAAAGAATTTTGTTCTTCATCTGGGTTAAAATATCTATATCAAAACTAACTTGATATGAAAAGGGAGAAAGTTTTCAAAATGTCACAAAACAAAAGAATACATGAACAAACCTGCTACCAAAGAGTGCTTGGTGGCAACTGGAGACATATGATGACTGTAAACCGTTTCTTCAAAATTAAATACATCTGCAGTCTGATAATCAAAAGATATTTTTAAAGTGTAAGTTCTAATTACAGTGACAAATGCAACAAGTTTTCTATTTATTTTCACATTGTTAGCAATTTTTAAATTGACTGCTAGCAATTTATTTGACAAACATAGGATGGTAATACCCTCAAAAACCTGATCATTTGAAATCCTATGTTATTTATAACATTTTTCTCCCTCTTGTGAGAAAAATAGTTTTTCTCTAGCAAATCACAGAGATTAAGATTAAAGACAGCCCCCCCCCCCCGCCGACTCATCATCTTCCTCTCTACCCCATTTAGGGACTTCAGCATCTACATAGATGATCTAGCCAGTACTCTGTGTCTTAGTTTCATACAAGTTCGGCTACCACACCCAGGATACTCTCTCCCATCACCTCCTTTCAAATCATACATTTCAGTTATATACAACTATAATCAACTGTCATTCATTTTCAGCTCCCCCCCCCACCCCCCCACCTACTTCCAGGACACCCAATAAAGCCTAGAACTCCTATCAGTACTTCCTGTCTTCACTTTCCCTTCTTGAGCCTGGATTCCAAAGTCTGTCTGATACTTCAACTGCAAATATCTTCAACTCTTTTGCTGTTATGCTTGTATTTGCACCAGTCGAGACCTCAACCCTTGATGACTCCAAATGTCTGCCTTCTGTACACCTACACTCAGGCTGATCTACATCAGAGGTTAGCAAACATTTTCCATAAAGCTTCAGGCTGTAATTATTAAAGGCTTTGAGGGCCAGCTACTCATTTCTGACATTGGCACATCAAAGTAGAAACAGACAACAAATGAGTATGTCTGTGTTCCAATAATACTTCATTTACAAAAAGAGGCAATGAGCCAAACTTGGCCTGTGGGCTGCAGTTAGCTGACCTCTGTCCTACCCTAGTGAAGTAAGTTTCTTTTTAAGATTATTTATGTATTTATTTATTTTTAGAGAGAGGGAAGGGAGAGAAAAAGAGGAGGAGAGAAATGTCAATGTGTGGTTGCCTCTTGAGGCATCCCCTAAAGGGGACATGGCCTGCAACCCAGGCTTGTGCCCTGACAGGGAATCAAACCAGTGACCCCTTGGTTCACAGGCCTGTGCTCAAGCCTCTGTACCACACCAGCCAGGGCGTGGTTCTACCTTTATAATAAGGTAGACTGATGATCACCATAAAAGATCATTAATCTCAACAGGGCTTTCAGTATTGACTGCCAGTCCTACAATAATTCTCTGCATTCTTGCAATATTTGTAGCTATTTCAAACTTTCTGCACTTTCTCTGCAATATCTGCAGCTATTTCAAACTTTCTGCACTTTCTCTGCAATATTTGTAATTATTTCAAACTTTCTACACTTTCCACAAATACCTCTACTTGGTCACAACAGGTGGATCTGATCTTATATTCCAAAGAGAAAACAGAAGCCAATCAATAAGAATCTTCTTAATGTCTTATCAACAAGCTTACAAACATATTTGCCTGCACTTAGCCTTTTTCCTTCTTCACTCCTGGTACCATAGAAAAATGATCCCTATTCATATTTAAAGGAAGTATGTTCAAATACCTATTAGCATTGCCAGAAATCTCATCCTATACATTATCTCCTCTATATCCTGGGTATCTATAACCTCTCCCTCCCTACAGGCTCATTCCCATCAGCACTAAAAAAATGTTCAAGTCTCTTTCATCTTAATAGCATCCCCTTCCAAAGAAACACACACACACACACACAACCTTTCACCCAAATTTCTCCTATTTTTTTACAGAAATAAAAAAGAAAAATCCTATAATTTGTATGGAACTGCAAATGACCCCACACAGCGAGAGCAATCTTGAGACAGAAAAACAAAGCTGAAGGCATCACATTTCCTGATTTGAAACTATATTACAAAACAGTAATCAAAACAGTATGGTATTGGCAGAAAAGCAGACGCACAAATCAAAAAAAGAATAGAAAGCCCAGAAATAAACCCAGGCATATATGGTCAATTAATTTACAACTAAGGAGAGTCTCTTCAATAAATGTTGAAAAAACTGGACAACCACATGCAAAAGAAAAAAATTCTTATATCATATACATAAATTAACTCAAAATGAATTAAAGACTTGAAATCATACAAATCCTAGAACACACAGGGATAAGCTCCTTGACTATGATTGTTTGGATTTGATACCAAAAGCAAAAGTAATTATAAAACCAAAAATCTTCGGCACAGCAAAGGAAACCACCAACAAAATGAAAAGGCAATTGACAGAATGGGAGGTAATATTTTCGAACCAGTATCTAATAAAGGGCTAATATTTAAAATATGAAAAACAGTCATTCAATTCAATAGCAAACCCCACCTCCCAAAGAATCCAATTACAAAAAGAACAGAGCAGCTAAATATTTTTTCAAAGAAGATATACAAATGGCCAACAGGTACATGAATAGGTGCTCAACATCCCTAAGCAACAGGGAAATGCAAATCAAAACCACAATGAGATATCACCTCATACCTATTAGATAACAGTAAGTTATTATAAAAAAGACAAGAAGTAACAAATGTTTACAGGGATGGGGAAGAGAACCCTTGTACACTGTTGGTGTAGCCACTATGGAAAACAGTATGGAGGTTCCTCAAAAAGTTGAAAATAGAACTATCATATGACCCAGCAATTCCACTTCAGGGTATTCATCCAAAGAGAACAAAGGCACTGATTTGAAAAGATATACACAGCCCCATGTTCACTGCAGCTTTATTTTATATATGTGAATATTAGTCAGCCATGAGAAAGGAGGAAATCCTGCCATTTGTGACAATATGGATGGGCCTTGAGGGAGTTATGCTAAATGAAGTAAGTCAGCGAGAGAAAAACAAATACTGGCTGATCTCTTCTATATGTGGAATCTAACAAAGCCAAACTCACAGAAGCAGAATGAAGTGGTGGTTACCAGGGGCTGGGAAGTGGGAGATAGGGGAAGGCGCTGGTCGAAGGGCCCACATTTCCAGCTGTATGACAAGTAACAGAAAATGTTGCCTAGGGAAGAGGACTTAAGGCAGGGAGTACAATACAATCAAGGTATGATCAGCAGCAAAAGGAGATCAGTTTAGTGGTGGCAAGACATTTATGCAAAAAGAGGTAGAAGCTAAAGTTGAGGGACCAGCAGGTGAGGTTATGGGCAACTTAGACGGTCAGACTGAATTTAGACAAGGGAAGTCACTAGTGGACTTGGGTACAGATAGGATGAAACAGGTTTATAATAAGATTAATTTGGGGGTAGAACTTATGATGGAAACATGGGAAGAAAAACGCAAGGGAACTGGTTAACAGTTTTTGGTAGTAGTCTAGATATATGGTAATGGTGAGGGAAAGAGAAAAAGAGAAATATGTGAATTTGAAGAAAGATTGGTAAGATTTGAGTACTAAATGGATGTGATTAGCAATCAGTTTGCAACAAATTAAGTTTGAGGAGATGGCACTACAGCTAGAAAAATATGGGACTAGAGCTCAGGGAAAAGATTAACACTTGAAATATAAATTTGACCAAATATCATATCATGAAAACTATTATCTACTGTTGACCTTTACTAAGCTAAAGTATTCTTAACTTTCTTTTCCTTTAAGTTTTTAGGTCAACAGGAGATAAATCCAATTTTCTTCACTAGATCACAAGATCACAGTAGTTTTAAATAATAACAATAATAATAGCTAATGGTTTTTGAGCATTTATATGCTAGGCACTGATCTAGTTTCTTTACAAGTATTTTGACCTACTTTATCTTAACTATTCTGTAAGATACAATCATTACCTACATTTACAGATAAGGAGACAAACAGAGAGAGGTTCAGATACTAGTTGGGAGCAAACCCAAGATATGAATTCAAACAATCTAACTCTTCTTAACCACTATACTAATTTCACATTATTATGTGACATCTTAGCAAATAATCACACTAAAATGGTTTAGGGTTAAATTCTCCTTCATCCAATAGTGCCATTTGCAAAGGTTTTAATATACTTACTTGTAATGTATTTGTATCCCATACTTTCAGAGTTTTATCAAATGAACTTGATGTGAACATGCCAGTGTCATGAGGATACCACTGTACAGTCTCCACACTATATTTGTGAACATCAGGATGATTTCTACAAAACAGCAACCAAAATTTAGAGATAACTGACTTACATGAGTTTGAAACTTACATTGTATTAACAAATAGCAGTTTCAGGAAGGATGGTATGAATCAGCAAACCTAGATCACATGCCTGTGCCCTAGCTGTCCAGGGAAAGAGAATGTTCAGGCACCTCTAGTTCCAGGATTCCCTAGTGTGACGTGGAGGCCTGCTTCCTATTGAGGCCTTTAAAGTGAGAGATTTCCTATTTATGTACCACAGCCCGCAGGGACCAGCCAGCTACACTGGACCTATTTATGGAGGGGGCAGTGATTTCTCCTTACTGGAAGGCATACCTATTTTGGTTTTGGATTTGCTCTTCCCAGTACTATTTCATCAACACTATCATTCTTAGAATTGTTCAATGCCTCACATAGTTCCAGGGTAGCCACGATATTGCTTCTGATCAAGGAATTTACTTCATGACAAAAAAAAAGCAACTGTGATGCCCATGGGATTCCGCACTCTCAGGTAACCCATCACCCATAGAAGCAGCACAGTCTGTTGATGACTCAGTTATGATACACCTACAATATACCACCTTGTGAGGGAGATGTGCAGTCCTGAAGGATGCAGTATATGCTCTGAACCAGTGGTGACACGATCTGTATGTGTCACTTTACTGAATTTTAATTCCAACAAACTGGGTCTTAAGAAACACAGGATAATGGAGGGACACTTGAACACTTAGTATTTAATGTCAAGAATTATTGTGTACATGAGATAATGATACTGTGGTTATGATAAAGTCTTTATCCTTTAGAGATACAAATAATTGTGAATAAATGCTTCTGGGTTTGCTTTAAAATAATCCTCATAGTGGGTGTGTGGGGTAGAGATGAAACAAGATTAGTTATGACTGATAGGTGTTAAGCTAGGTGATTGGGTGCATAGCTCATTATACACTCTCTACTTTTGTACATGTTTCTGTAAGACAAAAGTTAACAGAAGACTACTGCGACTATGTGAAGATAGGACCATCATGAATTACAATTCCTTAAGGTGATGGTCTGGAATCACAATATAAGATAAAGGACCTTGAACACCTGTGGTGCTACCTGAAAAATGAAAGTCTTAAGTGCCAGTTCTGGCCTTGAGACAGCTGCAAAAATAAAAGGACTGTAGTGCCTACTCATATTTTCTTTCATATGTATATGAAATATATATATTTCAACTAATTTAATTTCCCCTTTCTTTCCTCTCTCTTACCTCCATTAGTTTATTAGGCTAACTATACAACTGAGTCCATAGGCTGCATTAATACTGATAGAAGATCAGGTAAAACTAGTGGAAAAATGGGTATTATCTTGAACTGGAGCTGGATGTGGTAACTAAATAGACTTTTGGTTATCACTCTTTGAGGAAGAGGATGATATATTTTGGTTGAATAGTGAATACCTGTATTAGGTTAGGCTGGAACTTTTCTGTCCCCCGCAAAGGGGTAAGCATGGGAAGAAAATTGTACACAGTTGTTGGACAGCCACATGGAGGGACTGTAGTGGATATGTGCCCTTTTCTTGGCCGCTGAGCATACAAACTCCTCCTGTTACAGGGAAATCCCCTGTGTGTTACTGAAAGACAGAAGGACCCTGCTTCTTGCCACAGAAAGCAACAGACTCCAGACATTCTCTTTTCCTTCCCCCTTGGCAGCAAAGGCATGGACATGTGTCCTGGGCTTCATCAATCTTGCCGGGACTCTAAAACTCTAGCTAGGAATGCAAACACTAGGCATAGTTAGCAATTGTTCAGAGCTGTGGAGTTGAGAGTCTGTGTTGGTGACATGTAGCAGAAACTAAATTGCTCCTGTGTTGTGACCCTGACTGTGTTCTCTATCCTAGTTTCTCTTCATTTTGCTCATTTTTCCACATTTCCTGCCAAGTATGTGAGATACTATCATATTTGGCAGAGTATAATGAGCACATTTTTGCCCAAAATTTTGAGGGAAAAATAAGGATGTGTATTATACATAGGTAGTACTAATTCCATATCTATGTAAATGTTTTTAATTCTTTTATTTATGCTTATGCATGAAAAGTATAACTCTAGAAAGCAATAACGATATCTGTATGCAAAATAATACCCTGGAATACAATAATTGGTTCTGTTGAACTTAGGATGAACTTGCAACGAAAGCAGGTTTGGCAACGATTCAACAAATTGAAACGAAGGGTGATGTATTGTTATCCACAAAGAAAGATAGATGATGTCGACTGTTATCCACTTGATAAGACAAACGATGCCGAAAAATTGAATTAAAAAATTAAAATGAAATATTTTTTTCCTGAAAGTTTGGGCCAAAAACACGGGAGCACATTATACATAGCAACATACGATAATTATCTTTCCAATAAATTTCTTTTTTTAAACCAATTTTCCAATAAATTTGTTTAAAATAAGCAGAATTAAGTTCTGTTTGATCCTAAGATCTTATGGATACAGAGATTTCTCCAGTTTTAAATAAAAAAACTCTAATTATTGATCACAAATAAAAGCTCATTTATATTTTAAATTTAATAGGACAAAATACTATATTATTCCTTTACTATGTATGATTTATTATTCTCACTCACACTTAATAAGAATTTTGGTAGAGGAAAGGAATCTTTTTGGTGTTCAAGAACAAATAAGTAAAGCCAAAATAAATACCAGGAAATAGTCTAAGCCACAGTAACTCAACAACAATTTTTACTAAAGTTATTGTTTAAAGTTAGTTTATAAAGTCTCTGGATGTAAATATTCTACTTAAAATTCATTCTGTAAATAAGCTCACTACATGCCCATTTACACTCAAAGCCATACTTTTAAAGACAGAGTTTGAATCCAAGAAGAAAGTCATAGTAAAGCAAAAGACTCATGCACTAAGCATTTACTTGAGTTTACACACCAGAAAAGCAGACCATAGTCCTTCACAGAACATTATATAGCATGTGGTATATATGGGAATGCTATTTTTTTTCCATAACAAACTAAACAATGTTAAATGTTAGCTAAGATAAAATAAGATAATAAGGAATTTAATTAATATAACTGCCTTACACTTAAGAATTTAGATTTTTTTTTGGTGGGAGTGAAGAGTATAAGTCTCTCAATGCACATTTTGAAGTATTTGAGGTGGTATCTTGCTTCATACATAGTTTTCCTATAACTGTATTTCTATCCACACAGTGGCTTTACAGTTTCCAGGGTGCTTTTTGAAAGATATTTCATTTAATTCCCACAGAAAGCTAGTAGAATAATCTGAGGCTGAGAAATATTTCCCAAATCTGTATTTCCAAAGTGAAGTACCAGAGCCAAGAAATGATCATAAATCTCCTCACAAACAATTCATGGACTTACACACCTATTCTAACACCTTGGGCACAGTTATAATACAGAGTGGTTGTTGATATTAATGTTCATGAGTTTTTTCCTCTTAAAAGCATTTTCTCAACACCTATTCCTTCTGTAAATTCAAAGGTCTGCTTAACATAAAATCGGGTACAAGTGACAAAAATTAAGTGACCATTATGAGCAAATTATAACAAAGTCACAAAACATTTAATTCAAGACAAAAATAATTTTCACAAGACTGCAAAGACAGTAAAGAACAGGTAGGAAACTCAAGACAAAGAGAGGTATGTTTTTAAGTTAGGAAGCTTGGAGTAAGTAATTATAGAGGTAAGAGCCTGTGTGTGCATGTGTGTGTCTATTTGGTGAGGGAATGCCATTATATTTATTGCTTCTAGAGATTAATCTTTTTGTTTGATTAATATCAACCGAAAATCTAATTTGTGTTTATAATTAGCTGAAGTACTCATAAAGGAATCTTACACTAAAAGTACTAAAAATAGGTCACTGAGAAATGCTATGTAGATATGGGGAAAAAAGTACATAATCAAGTTTTAAAATAAAATCCTTTAAAAACTGATGCCAAAGTTGTTTTGGAAAAGTCACATTAAAAACAGCTACACTTAAATTTCAGTTATTATTTTTAAGGAAATATCAAGAGATATCCATGTAAATACAACATGTGAACAAGTTGCTTAAGACATTCATATGACTGCTATTTTCATAGTTTTCCTTAGAAGCAAAAACACTCAACTGTTTATAAATTCAGGAATTACATTTTTAATACACACCTGTCAACAGAACACAGTGCTTTACATGTGTAATAAGGTTGTCTGCTGTAGTTCTCAAGATCATAAAGAACAATCACACCATCTGAACCACCTGATAACATGCTAACAATAAAAAAGTTAACATTAATTTATCATCTTATGTAGTTCATTTATTTATAATTACATATTTCTTAAAATTACTGATCTTTAAACATCCAAATATATTATGCCCACAAATACTGAGTAAAAATTAATATAGACTTCACTAAACTAAATTTTCTTAATCTAATATTTGTAGAATAAATATGGAAAGATTTATGTGATCATTTAAAATTTACCTCATGATACCAAAAAGAGAGTAGAAACACGATGGCAAAAGATACTTCTTACTAGAAAGTAAAATATTACAACGTAATTTTAATTGTCCTAATTACAATTGTGCTAAATAAAAGTGGAATCAGACAGAGCAGCTATTACTACTGATGCTAGCTAGCTATCTGATCCTGGGCAAGTTATTTCACCTGTTTCAGCCTTAAATGTTTTAGAAAAAGGGGGATGGTTTCATTTAAATCATAAAGTTGATGTAAATATAAAATAATCTGCCAAGTGCCTTTATATTGCCTGTCAAAAAAAACGGGCTCAGCAATGTTAAAGTCCTTCTGTTAAGAACGTTTTTACTCAATTCATTCCACTTGGAGACCTGCAAGAAGCAAGGCACTCAGCTAACACAGCTGTGAACAGACAGGCATGGTTCCTGTCTTTTCGGAGTCTAAAATGTAGTAGGGAAGTGACAGACCTGTGCATTTATATATCTATAAAAGTATTCCTATTTCCTAATATTATTGTTCACCATCAATCCCATATTGCTGTCTCTCTATTCATACTGGTTCTCTGATGTTTTTCTCTGGGAGGTTCCTCAGAAAGGGCTAATCACAACAGTACTCCCTGAATTTTTGTACGTTATTGACAATTTGTCCTTTTGTACTTGAAAATCTGACTGGATATAAAATCTCTGACTCATATTTTACTTCCATGGACATTTTAGATAAGAAACTGCATTTCTTTGCATAAAGCCCAAAATAAATATGATTTCCTTTTCCTTTCATGCAATTTAAGATCTTACTTATTCTAGAAAAGTTTTCTTGGATTATAGCTTTAACATTCATTCTGTTCTCTTCCTTTGGTTCCCTTCTCTGGAATCTCCTTTTATATGTATGGTGGTTCTCCTCTGCCTATCTACCAGGTCCTTATCTCTTAAATACCTTTCCTTTCTCCATTTCTTTTTGATTTAAATTTTTTCCTTTCCACCTTCACCTAAGGCATTGTCTCTTGTATTTATTTGCTTGTGTTCCCTATGCTTTAGTATTCATTTCTGAAACATTTTTATTTCTAAATTTTTCTTGAGTTTGATAATCTCATTTCTGATTTTCTAACTATAACTTACATTATTCTTCCATATACTGTATCTTTTAAAAAGAACTTTTAGCTAGTTTTCTTAAATAATTTTTTTAAGATTTCTTTATTTTTAGAGAGGGGGACAGGAGGGAGAAAGAGAGGGACAGAATCATCAATGTGTAGTTGCCTCTTGCATGCCTCCGACAGGGACCTGCCTACAACCCAGGCATGTGCCCCGACTTGGAATCAAACTGGCAACCCTTTGATTCACAGGCTTGCACTGAATCCACTGAGCTAAACCAGCCAAGGCTACTAATTTTGAAATATTAGGTTAAAGTTCTCATCTATTTTGTTGGCATACCTTTCTGGTACAACTTCATGGTCTATAGGGGCATTACTCCACTTATTCTCATTGTTCCTATAGTAATTTGACTTCAATCCCATTCTTTGCTTATTTTTACATAAAATTAATTTTCTTAAACTTTTAGAAGGGAAACTTGGTTTAGAATAGTTACATTTTATATCTCTAGAATGTTTTCTTCTTTTTTTTGTAAGATGTTCAAAATACGGCAGTTTACTTTCAGAGATTTCCTGGTTCTGTTCACCTTTCCAACTTTTACCTGGACCATCTTTTTCCTTTCTTCTATTATCCCTATATTACTTAATTTGGATTCTCGTCCAAGCAGTTTTTCCTCAGTGCAGGGTTCTGTCCTGTAAGGGACTATTAGTTGATATGGCTAGAGAAATTAAGGCCCAGACTACTCCAGCCCCAGGTCTTACTGTGAACCCCTTGAACAATTTGAATGTGCCATGCTCTCCCAGTTTCAGCTGCTGTAGTCAACTTGCTGAGCTTTCAACTAACTGTTGGTTATTTTCGAGTTCAGGTCAATCTGATGCCTGATTGCTTTTAATTGCCATCCCTGGTATGGATGCTGATGCTACACAGATCTTACATTCTAATACAAGCTCCTTATCTTGCTGTGAACCACTTGTAAAGGCTTTATGAACTAGCAACATGTCTGGTTTACAGACTTGCTTTAAGGAAAATTCAGTATCAATCTGTAGAACAATTAGGTTAATTTAAAAGTAGTTCTTCCAAGTTCTTTGTTCAAATAGTTTTAAAGTCCAACTGATAATAGGCAATAAAGAAAGAGCAAGAAGCCCTGGCTGGCGTAGCTCAGTGGATTGAGCACGGGCTGGGAACCAAAGTGTCCCAGGTTTGATTCCCAGCCAGGGTACATTCCTGGGTTGCAGGCCATAACCCCCAGCAACCGCACATTGATCTCTCTTTCTCTCTCCCACTCCCTCCCTAAAAATAAATAAATAAAATATTTTTTAAAAAAAAAAGAAAGAGCAAGTAATGCCATGGCTAAGTTTTAAAAAAAAATATTCATTAGTTTCATTACAAAAATTTTGTAGTTGTTACTCTAATTAGGTATGTAGAGAAATATATGTAAATTTTAACAACTACAACTTTTATTTTGGTTGATAAAATGCTGTGACTTGTTTGGAAACAGATGTGAGCAATATGTATACCACAACCAATTTGAAAAACATTTATGCTTTATATCTGAACTTTGTGAAATATTTTTTTATCACAGCTCTATGTGTATTAGCAAAAACAAAAAACCCAAAAAACAAACAAAAAAAAGAAACCCAAAAACAAATACTTTGAAAGCTGTACTCTTAAACTGATTTTAAATGGTATTTACAATAACGCCAAATGTTTCACCTTTGCTAGAATGACTTCCAAAAGCATTCCTTTGATTCCATTAGTTGGGTGAAAAAACCAAACCATTATCAAAATTTATTGACTATTTGAAGTATATGATGGCACTAACATTATTTAACTGTGATGTTATTATTCTGTAATACAGTAAACACAGTAAGAGATAAGGCTTCATGTTTTTATATAGATGAGGTAACCTGGTATTAAAGATAAATAAAATTAATTAGAAGAATTGAGAAGGTATAAAAGAAAAGTCGAGATTTACAGAATGATATGCATATGTACTCTATGCAGCTGCACCTGTTAAAATGTTATTTTCGGGTTGACTTCTTAGAATAACTCCTAATTTGGAAATAAATGCTTCTTTATCAGATTGTGTACTCTGGCTTCCATTCTGGTTTTCAGTGATATCACTACAGCTCTGTGGTGGTTGGTAAGTATTATTAAGTATGTAGAGCAGGTTTCACATACGTTGATTTTCTTAAGAATAAGAAAATCAGTATTTAATTTTCCATTAAATGTATGGCTGGCTTTTTATTTCTCTCTTTGCTGCCAAAAGGGCTTACGAGCCATAGCAAACAATGAAAGAACTGTAGACTTTTAGCCTGAAATAAAGGAGGAAACCACTGCAGTTAGAATCTTGACTTTTCTCTATATGCTCTACAAACACATATTTCATGTACATATAATTTATAATTCCCCACATTTCTCAGTGGCTCTGCCACCTGGTAGCCTACTGGCTTCACATATTCCACAGATTAAACAACTGATCACTATCCCAAAAAAGAATCTGTACTAAATATTTTTTCCACCAGAATCCAAGACGAAAAGAAATTAGCTGTTTATATCTGCACTATTTTATAAGCAAATGCCCCACAGCTATCCTTGAACAGGAGGTTATTATATTAAGTCTAGAAAAGGTCATGAAAATAAAAAGAGTTATCACTGGTCATCTTTTAGATATAACCAGGTGTTAAAGTTAGGATTTGTTCACTGTTCATGTTTTTCAAATACTACCAGGTGAGACCATAACAGAAGCTGGAAATAAAAAAAGGAATTATATAAAACTTTTCTTCGCTTATCTTAATATTAATTAAAATAACTATAATAATAGTACTTTATTATAATGTAAAATTGTGGGGCAAATGCTGAACACACGACACAATAAATTTTTCTGTAGTTACTTTTACACCTGTTCTAATTATTAGACTACATGAAGAGTTTTGAACTTTCTTGGACTATCACATGGGGGTCAATATGAGTTTTAAGTAGGGTGATGGCATGTTCAGATTTGTATTTTTCTTTTTTTTTTAAGATTTACTTAGTTTTAGAGGGAGGGGGTAGGAGGGAGAAAGAGAGGGAGAGAAACATCAATATGTGGTTGCCTCTCGTGCCCCCCTACAGGTGACCTGGCCCTCAACCTAGGCATATGCCCAGACTGGGAACCCAACCAGTGACTCTTTGGTTTGCAGGCCAGCGTTTAATCCACTGAGCCACACCAGCCAGGGCCAGATTTGTATTTTTCAGAGCACTTCACCTGTTGTGTGAAAAATGGACTGAATGGTGTAAAAGTATGGGTGATAATTCTTTTGATTAATAGGAGTAGTAGCAATGAGTAATATAAGCCAAGTCCTATGCTAATTGTTGTATTATCTCAAGGAGTCTTCACAACAAACTTCTTAGTATTATTATTCCCACTGTATAGCTAAGGCAACTGAGAATTAGAAGTTAGATAAATTGCTCATGGTCACACAGCTGGTGTTACAACCAAAAGAAATTCAAATACAAGTGTCGTTTGTTTCAAACTTAATGCTCTAAAAGATACTTTTACTTTTTAATATTTTCACCCGTTAGTCCCCTTCAGAGTAGCAACTATCTTTTAAAACAGCATTTAGTTACACAGCTAAGTGAGTGAACAATGAATATGTTTATATTAAAGTTATTTGGAAATGTTTATCTGGCAACATTTTTATAGGTATGAAGTTCTGTATTACTTGAAATTAGTAATAGTAGGTTAAAATTACTACAATTTATAATTTTTTCTAATATTCATGAACCTTAACATAATTAATCTGAAAGCAAGATTTTACTGCTTCTCACTTAGGAAGAAAAATATATAAACTTACTATCTCCCTTCAACAGGTTCAATGTCCAGGGTGTTAACGCCATTGCAATGGATCCTTTCAATATCTCTGTCTTTATTCAACTCCAGTCCCAAAACCCTTTAAAAATATAAAAATTAACAAGGGGAAAAAAGACATAACTAAACAATAAATTAATTCAAACATAAAGAATGTCCTCATTTTACCAAGATTACATATAGTACAAAAGTTGCAAGTAATGTTTAAGTCTTTCTACCAAAGATTTTTGATTTTAAAGACCTTATATAAATTTTTTAAAAATCAACAGTACTAACAGTTACATGTAAAGAATTTCTCTTGAAACATTATCTTAGACTTAACTTGAAGAGAATATTTTATTAAACTTTTATTGAGATGAGACAAATTTTCACAAAATTGGTAATGTAAGCTTAACTGAGGACACCTAGTGGACAAAATCTTGAATTACAGCATTTTAAATAAATTCCCTGGAATATCTCTTATGCCTTAGGTATAAATACAAAGTTATTATGTTTAATTAAACAAGTAGGCACATTTAAATGAATCCAATTAAATATTTAGAAAGAAAATGATTAACAAGTATTCTCATAAATTAAGGTGAATGAAATTTCTGGTATTCTATAGTTGTAAAACATCATTATTCTGGTCAGAATATTAAGATTAAATGAGTTAATACATAAAAAGTACTCATTACAATATCTAGACATAGTAAGTGCCTAGTGAATGTTAACTATTAAAATTTGTCTCAATCTGTTGGAAGTTGGAAATAATTTACATTAATTTAACCAGATTGATTTCTAATTTCATTATTGATTAATATAATGCTAATTTATATGGAATTTTTAGCCTATCAAATTAATTAGGTTTCATAAATAATGCACAGTGCTAGAAAAGGTACAAAATGTTACTTTTACACACTGACAACAGTAGTGATAATTAAAAGCATTTTGGAAATCATTTTAGCAATATCAAGTGTTTGGTTTAAAGATATACATAGCCCTTTGTCTTCTGGAAGACAATTTAGCCTTAGGTTCAAATATCCACTTATTACTTCCCTAACCTTGATCAGTAACAATAACTAATATTAAGAGCCTGCTATTTGCTGATTGTACTCAGTGGTAATACTAAATGTAATAACTGGTAATCCTAGGTGACAGATTTCCTAGATGGTAAGTTACATTTTTAAATGCTTTTGATTATAAAACTAAGACATAGTAATTTGCCTAAGGTCATCCATCTAACAATTGGCTGAATTGCATCTGAACTCTGACATTTTTTTTCTCCAGACCACTATGCTGTCCTGACATTTCTGAGCTTCAATATTTCACCAGAAAGTAATTTTTCACATTTTCCATTGAAATTCATTTCTTCTTAAAATATATTTCTATTTGATGATTATCCAAATCATAAAACTAATATGTGCTTCTTGTAACAAGTAAAAATAGTATCAAACAAACATGTGCAAAGGCAATCATCCCTTCCTTGAGTTTTAACAATGAGAAACGTGGCTTTCATTATCATTAATGTATGTATTTATTAGACCAACTCCCTTGTGTATAACTAATCTACTGTCACCATTACCATCCCCTTCCCCAACAAGGATGTTACTCACCAGGCTTGGGCTTTGATTTCTGCATCCCCCAACACCGTTATCGTGTGAGCTTGTCAGTCCCCACACTTAGACTACCTCCTCATCCCGCTGAGGCTCTGAAATAACACTCTGGGTCAACCTAATCCAGTTTGGAAGCCTACCTCTGCTCAGTCTAAAGACTTTGGGACTCAACTGTTTGGGAACTAGGAGGGGTTAAGGTAATAAGATAGAGGGAAACAGGGGTGAAGGAGGCAAGGTGTGTGGAAGGAGGCAAGGTGTGCCAAAAAAAATTAATATAGCAGGCCTGAAACTAGTATCCTTAGAAAGGCCTGTGTGCGAGATTCGCCCTAGCCTGGTTTATGGGATTTCAGAAAACTTCCCATCATTCCAGTGTAACAATGGTTCACTGTGCCTAAACTATTTAGAGCAAACACTCTCTTTTATGTTGAATACCCGTTTTCCTTCTGGGAGTATGAAATTTTTATACATGCTAGGCACATTCTTATATGTACTAGGAATTTTGGTACTTGCTCCAAGAGAAGAGTCGCGTCGAGCTTAGTGGGAGGAAAAGTGATGCTTAGGGAAAGTGTGAGGCAAGGATAACACAGCCATTGGTACAAAGCTTAACTGGCTTGTTAGAGAAGACAGTAAGTTTTCTATACCTTCGTGTGGACTCCACTCTTCGTAGGCGAAGAGGGTCTTCCAATCCAGCTTGTCTCGCCAACAAAAACCCTAGCATCCTCTTCCTCTACACTGGATAGAGTGTTGGACGCAGCCATGACAGAACTCGGAGACGAGGCTGTAACAACGGAGTCTTCCATTGGCAGAGCAATAATGCCATCTGTCCAATGGTAAGCGCCGTTACTGGAAGGGTGTGATGAAGAAGGCAAGTGGAATTCTCCTTTGCTGGTGGGCCGGCTCCGCGTTCTGGTTACTGTCGCGGTGGACGCGGCTACGCACGCTGGGCTATGCGCTGTCGGCATGGGTTGGTCTCAGGATTTGTTCCGCGCCCTGTGGAGAGCGCTGTCAAAGGAAGTGAAGGAGCTAGTGGGCACTGATCAGTTCGGGAACAAGTACTACCATATACCGGAGTACAAGAACTGGAGAGGTGAGATGACAGCGAGGGCAGCGGTGGCGTAGTCAGTAAATGGGGGAAAGTAAGAGCGTCTCGGAAACTAAGGTAACCTGTGACACATGTGATGTCACCTGAGGGGACAAACCGAGGTCGTTCACCCCGCCACCCCATCATCTTAGTGGCTTTCAATGAGCGGCTTTGTTCCACGGCCCGGCCCGGTGCGTGCCCACGGTGCCAGCGCTGCAGCGCCTGGGTCTGGAGCACCCGGCCGCAGCCCGCGCGCGCACGGCCCGGACCCATCTCCTCCCTGCGCTGGGCGCCCCAGTGTTGGTTCTTGCCTTGGGACGGCGCAGACCGGGACAAGTCCACGGAGGTCTTTTACCTAAGGTCCTCCGAGAGGGGGGAAAGTGGCCTTCCTCCTGTGCCCCGCTTGCGACCTGGGCGTAGTAGTATAATTGGGGAAATTTAAGCGCCTCTGCTTTCGTCTTTCTTGGAGTTGACCTTTGTCAGTAGCTCCGGACTGGCCCCTGCGTCCCCTTCCTTACAACCCAAACCTGTCAGAAGTAGGTCCGTGTGCACTAACCGTGTGGAAAAGAGTTCCTCCTAAGGCTCCATATTACCTTTGCCACGAGTTTGCACTCCAGGACCCTGCTGAGCTCACTTTACAACACGTGGATCTGAATCGTGATATTTCTGTGCGGAATTCGGGAGAAGTACGCAGTGAATGAAGTTTGAGGAATTAGGGGGCGTTCCTTCCGTTGAAATCACCGCACAGCAGTAGCGAAGACCTCCTCCGTGCACGTCCCGCCCCGCAATGCAAAAGATCTCAGGCTTTGGGGTCAGAAAGGCTCGGTTTAGAATCTCAGCTTTAACAGCTAACACTTGAGGGGTTTACGGACAGAGTATTTGCTCTCCCCGGGTCTCAGTCTCCTTACTTGCAAGTTAGAGGTGATAATAATCATAATGAGAAACACTAAAACTTTTGTTTAAATATTTTAGACGTTTCCCTAATAAGCTGCTAAACTCTGCCAGGCTAAGGAAAACATCATCTTTTCTTTTTTCTCTCTTTCAAGAACCTAGCATGGTGATGAAGTACTTCAATTTTATTTTTATTCTTCATCCAAGGATGTGTTTATTTTTTATTGATTTTAGAGAGGGGGTTGGGAGAAACATTGATCGGTGGGCTCCCATAGGCTCCCCGACTGGGGATCAGACCTCTAAGTAAGTTTGTGCCCTGACCAGGAATGGAACCTGTGTTGCTCCAGTCAAATGAGCCAACCGGCCAGGGCATGATAAAGTATTTTTTGACAGATTTCAAGCAGAGAGAAATGTATTCTTTTCCATTATTTGTCAGTAACATTTAAAAATATGGAAAATGTCAGATTGTTCATTGAAGTACAGTGTATAATTTACTTTTAGTAATATTCATACTTCTTGATGTACAGTTTTATGATTTTTTCAGAAATGCTTAGAGTCATGTAAATTACCACAATCAAAATATAGAACAGTTCCTTCGCGCACCCACACCCTCAAATTTCTTCCAACCCTTAATGGTTCATTCCCTCACCCTATACCCGGCCCTTGACAACCATTGATCTGTTTTGTGTCCCTGTAGTTTTGATTTTTCTAGAATATCATATAAATGGAATTATATAGTTGTAGTCTTTTGAGTCTAGTTTATTTCAGATAGCACAATGCAGTTGAGTTTCATCCGTGTGTCAATAGTTGTTCCTCTTTATTGCTAAGTAGTATTCTAGTTACTTTTCATAATACTGAGCTGAACATTTGATGTTCCCAAAATGGAATTGGTTAAGGGAAAGGTGGGGATAGCAGTGGGTAGAAGTTAGCAGTGATGCCTGCTTTTAAAATGCAGGATGAGTGTTTCGTCAACCATGGTAGACTTTTGGAATACATTTTTTAACACCATATAACCTTCATTAGCGCTTTTTGCATAGTGAATTGTTCATACAAGGCTATTAGCAGTCATCTTCAAACTGTTCATTTTTAAAAATAATTATGAAATCTTTTCAACTTGAACATTTTCTTACAAAATCTTATATTTTAAAAGATTTTTAAAAAGATTTTATTTATTTATTTTTAGAGATTGAAGGGAGGGAGAAAGAGAGAGAAAGAAACATTAATGTGCGGTTGCTGGGGGCCATGGCCTGCAACCCAGGTATGTGACCTGACTGGGAATTGAACCTGCGACACTTTGGTTCGCAGCCCATGCTCAATCCACTGAGCTACGCCAGCCAGGGCTAAAAGATTTTTTCATTTTGCTCTCAGTTTTTTAATGAAGCATTGTACATTTATAAAAATTACGAGCAAACAAAAATTTGTGCTAAGGTTTTCATGAAAGTACTGGTAAATTACATTTTCAATGTTTATATGAGTATATTTAGACTCAAATACATTTGGATTATCATTATAACAAATACGTTACTTGTAATAACATTGTCTGAATTTTATATTTCATGCTTTTTGGTTAAAAATAAAGATGGCCTTTCGATATGGAGCTCTCAAACACTTTTGTGAAGTCAAATCAGAAGAGGTAGAATCTAGACTTTAAAGGTATAATTCAAAGTGGAGTTTTCTCAATCTAAAATTGAATTTTGTTTAAAACTGAAGATTATTTTATACCATTTCTATGTGCCTCCTTAAAAAACAAATATTAGTTGGATTTTACCTTTTTTTCCAACTTGAGAATTCTGTTTATTTTTTATCCATTTATTTGTTTTTAATTATTGAAGTATGAAATATTTCAAATATGAAAAGTAGAAAGAAGTATAAAGCAAACCTCCATTACTCACTTGCAACAGTTATGAACTCATGACTAAATTTTATATATCCCCACTCATTCTTCCTCTTATTTTATAGCAAATACTAAATATCCTGTCATTTTACCTATAAACATTTCAGTATATATCACTTAAACACAAAGACTCCTATTTTTAAGTATATAATAATACCATCATCACATATAAAAATCAGCAGTCCCTTATTATCATCAAATATCCTGTCCTTCTCATTTCCCTAGTAGTCCCATAATGCTCTTACTGATTGATTTTTTTTTACTTATTTTTACTTACTAGTTTGTTTTTTTTTTAAGATTTTATTTTATTTATTTTTAGGGAGGGAAGGGGGGAGGGGGGAGAGAGAGAGAGAGAGAGAGAGAGAGAGAGAGAGAGAGAGAGAGAGGGAGAGCAACATCAATGTGCGGTTGCTGGGGGTTATGGCCTGCAACCCAGGAATATACCCTGGCTGGGAATCGAACCTGGGACACTTTAGTTCCCAGCCCGTGCTCAATCCACTGAGCTACGTCCAGCCAGGGCCTAGTTTGTTTTAATTGAGCTCCAAACAAAGTCTTTAGATTGTGATTGCTAATATGTTTTTAAGCCTCTTGTAATTTATAGGTTTTCTCTTTATGTTGACTCTTTCCCCCTTTATCTCTCTCACACACAAACCTCTGCTTTTTTATGAGAGGGTGTTGGAAAAAAGCTACTTTTTTTAATACTGTTAACCCATTCATACTTATTACAATAAGTGGTTATATATTGTCTTACTTTAGTCATCTTGTGTTTTTATATTTTTTGTTATTTGTGTTTTCTTGTTGTTGACTACGCTTTTTAGATGTCTTTTGCTGCACAGGCTTCATTTTACTTGAAATTAACTATTTTTTATCAAGTGGGACCTGAGCGAGTGCTACATTTCTTGTCTTCCTACAGGGCTCTGGTAGAACTCTCTGGGAGAGCTGTACTCATTACTTAGGATGCCTTCACTTTCAGCCCCTGCAAGTTGGAGTCTTAAGAGTGTCAATATCAGGTCAGAGTTGTAGTTGCCTATGAGAAAGGGGGAAGGAGTTTACTGGGATAGTTAGCAGATGCTATTTGCTTTTTAACCTTATTTTATGACATCTTATAAGCTATTCACATTAGTGATAATTAGACCTCCCTGTGGTGGCATTAACGAATTCCTTCGACTTGACCCTTACCACTTATTTGCCCCTTGCTTACAGTCCTGCTGCTCCAAGCTTAGGATTTTCTCAGTAGTTCTTTTTGGGAACTACTCATATAGATCCTTTACAATATGACCTGTATGTCTATGCTGATTCACAGGCCAGTCAGCACTGCTGAGTTTGCCTTCCATTTCATTCTGTATCATTTATTAATTTTCTCATGTGATATGTTTATTCAGCACTGCTTTATGCAAAACATATCTGCTTATGTATTTCATATCTATTGACCTCAGCTTCTGGCCTGTTAGTGCCTTTATCTGTTTTCCAGGATAGCTACATACCTCCTTACATAGTATTCTTTAATAAATTCAATAGGATTTGGGAAGATTAATAAGATAAACATGAATCAATAGCTATTTCAAACTGAAGTTGACGTATTTAATTTGTAACAAATTACCAATTTTTCTCCTCCATCTTGTTAACATAGCTTCCAATCTTTTTAGTAATGTCTACATTAATGACAGATAGCATTCATTGAGTGTTAACTCTGATTATTTCATGTCTTTACAACTATATAATAAGAATTATTAACCTCATCTTAAACATGTGTGAACATTTCATTTATGAATACTCAAATGAACTTCATACATATGTGCCTGGGTACAGAGTAGGAACTCAAAAAACAGCTGTTAAATGAACTGAGATATTTATGGACTTAGAATTATAAAAACAAAAAGCAAAAAAATTTTAAACCACAGGAAAT